GCAATCCATAGAACTGTACATAAATAATAATAATCAAATTTTTTGCTTTTTTTAAATAGAATTTTGTGATTCAAAACACTTGAAAATGGTGATAGATTATTATCAATATATAGCCTATTATCAAATGTTGTGGAAAATGATTCCTTTTGGCAAACAAAGAAATACAGTGAAAATAGAAGGAAAAGACTCCAAAATAGCCTTAGACAGAGACTGTGGTAATGGCTAAAAGAGTTGTATTTTCATATTGTGGCTTAATAATAATAAGGACGGACAGGAATTGACAGAAGACTTTGTCCGTGAGTGACCGTTAGGAAACAAAACAACTGAATGACTACTAGAGCAGGTCACACTGTTAATTCCTTCCAGCTCAGTAAGACTAAAGTGTCTAAAAGTAGACTAAAACTAAAGCCGCAATAATTTAATATGTCATACTTTGCCTATCTTTTTGCTTTCGTCCTGTTTTCATATTCAATCTATTTTGTAAAAATCGAAAAATGATATCTAATTTTGCATCATTGTCTCCTTTTTCAGTAAGGGAATTTCTTCAACACAGGCCCTTATAATAAGTAATAACTAATATTATAGACCCTATATAACAGTAACAATAAATAACAACGCATTGTTACATTAAATCAGAAAATTTGCCTGGCCTTTTAAGTTCTAAGTTTTAGTTCTAACCACATTTGGCTGTGAGAGGAAGTAGATCTAGTAGGCTATGTATAGCAAAATTTAATTATTAATAAACTATATGAAATACTTACCGTTTGGGTCTTTAAACAAATACTGTAGGCCTAAAAATAATGATGCCATGGCCGTGGCGACATGCTTCGGGTTTTTTTTTTTGTTTTGTTTTTTTCAGTCAACCCGATTGATTCAGTTTCAAAACTTTCGGCCTCATTCCTTGAGACGATAAATTTATCTAACGATAAAAACAAATTAATCTCAGAATGTCTGATATTGTATTGACGAGACATTCGACCCATTACACGTTCTCTTCCGTAAATAAGATAATCCTAAACAGTTTTGTTTTTTTTAAATTATATTATTAAATTGGTAACAGAATAATCAGATTCTGAAAGCGAATTATTCGGGTAAACGTGTCGCATAACCAGATCACCGCTCGAAATGGAACCATATCGCAAAATAGTTCCAGTTTTTGACTGGATTAAAGATAATAATTAATTGTGTGACATAATAAATTGACTTAGCTGCATTCGATATAAAATTTTGACAAGAAGAAAGTCCCTGTTACAGCCACGGTTATACCTCCATTAAAAGTCAAATCGGTATCTAGGCCACGACGAATCCCTAGTAACTCACTATTTTCAAAAATGACCGAAATATAAATTTACATTTGTTACAGAATCAGAATATTCCAAATCTTTCTAGAACTTTTGATTTGATGAATTTACATAGCTAACAAATGTTTTCATACTTTAGCATTGAAAAGAGATATTACGAATAACAATTTAACGTTCGATACATTTAAAACGAAAGGACAAATTACGTGGGTTTTTTTATTTTTATTAAATTAGTAGGCCTACAAATCGTTACTGCTATAGTCAGAAATACGATTGGAATTATATAATAGATAAGATCAGATTTTAATGTACCAAAACATCCATTAAGACGGGAAGAATACTCCTATAGTAAAGGGAGCACATTATAAAATGGTGGATCAAAAAGCGACTCAGAACTGTTCGAGAGAAGTTTATGCAATGTACAGTGTATATGTTATAATTGTCGAAATTAGAATATAGGGACCTCTGAAAAGAAAGTTCATTAAATAATAATATATATGCATACAGCGCACAGTTCCCTCCTATAAATAAGATAGGGCCTTGATTATCTACACAAAATCTCATCTTTAATCCCTATTTTAGTATTATTCATAAATATTTTGGCCGCAGTAAAATATGAGTAATTTAGTTGTTTATTAAAGAAGTCCACATTTCGTCAATAACCAGAAAATGGGAATAAAGTTAGTTTTCCAAGTCTCGATTTATTTATTAAGAAAATAAAAACTATACGGCCCTTGTTAGTTGCTACTATAGTAGATAACAAAGGCTGCCCTTGTTAGTTGTTACTGTAGCGGCTAACAATTTACCCCCAGAGGCGCAGAGGCACCCTTAGCGCTGCTACGAGCATCTAAAAATGACTAACAACTTTCTACTACTAGCAGGCTAATAATAGGCGGATCGGGTGGTAATTTCTAGAAATATTGTCAATCCTCGAACGTTTCTTGGATGACTGACTGTGCAATAGGAATTCGCCATCTTAATAAGATTGAAACAGTTCGTATTTTACCTCGTATAATACTGACCATTTATATTTGTTACCAATTTTATTGTAAATTTCACTCGATACTATAAATATTATTATAATGCTTTTTGGGGACGCGTTTGAAAATATTTCTCAGACTTTTTAATAGAACTAATTTATAGATCCATTCTTTATTTTGTTAGATTTTTTCGGCATTGTTATATAAAAAAGTGCCTACTCTTTTTATGGAGTTACCTGTCCAATGAAATGTGATTTTAACCAATGCATTTAGTTAGTATTTTCCTCTCTTGATAACGTTGCTTTACAGTTGATGTATTGTCCGCTGTTAAATTATGTTATTAGTTTTATGATAACTATCTGGCGCTGAGTAATTAACTAGTAATCGTCTTTCCTATAAAATACTGGTAATGGAACATTGATTTCTGTTAATGATTATTAATCCCCAAACATTATTTCAGGATCAGCAAAGGTCAGGGCTGAACAGGTATACGAGCTATCTGCGAAAAGATGCATAAGCTAAATATATTCATATTTTTTAATTAGATAAGATAAAATAAGATTTTATTGCATCGAAACATCCATTTAGGACAGCATACAATATAAACGTGTACATAAAAATTATACCAATATGACAATAATTACACAAGACACACAATATTGCATCGGAACCTCCCTTGAGGACAACATACAATATATTAAATACAGGTGAATCGGAACCTCCCTTGAGGACAAAATACAATATACAAAATATTAAATACAGGTGCAAAAAATTGGACGGATACAAAAATATGGATGGACATAAATTCAGAGCACTCATACATAAACAGTATAAAACCTGCGTTTGTTTCAATTTGAGTTCTTCGGTGTTTGCCACCCATGAATTAATTCGTTTATCAAAATCCCAAAGAAGAAAAATCAAATGCGTGCGTCATTCCGGCGTCTTTTTGTTGTTTTTTTTTTCAATTAACGAGGCAGCTGCAAGATACAATCTGATTATATGTTCTCAAAATAGAATTTTATTAAGAATGATACAGGTTATATATTATAGTACAGTATGGTGATTAGTATCTATCAGTAGTACTGTAGAAAGCAGCGGAAATTAATTAGGAACAGGTTTATCTTTTCAACAAACTGTATAAATAATGCTACGAAACACCTTCTGGATACGGTCAATAAGATCATCAGCCATCATTAATCATGGTAACCGGAGAATAATATAATGCCTTTTTTCCAACTCGTGAGAAATTCAATCTGTACTCATCACTATTAAAGGTCTAGAGAACCCAATACTACCGCTGGGATATTAATTATTTTGATATATTCCCAGTCGCAAAGCTTTCTTATAAAATCTAACGATTTTGCCCTTATATTATGCAATGCATTATAAATGTATAAGGTCTAAGTAAAGAGCTGGTCGTCCTTGCTTTTAAAAATCAAAAATAGATCATGAAACTTTAATATATAGAATATTTCAGTCAGATTATTTATTCTATAAGCGAATTATGACAGTTTGAAGTTTTGACAAGAAATAGTCGATTAGCAAGTACCAAGTACCATTGCCAATAATAAAATCTCGATTGTCAGTCCTTTTGCTAAGTGGCATCCATATTAAAGTTAAACTGGTATATATATTATATTATGGCAAAATTACGTATTTATTTTGAAACAGTCTACTTATTACCTAGATATTATACAGATTTGTATCCCTTATTTTGGGAATGTTTCATAATGTTTTGTAATCCTACACAATCTTCCATCTTAAATCAACAAGTTTATCTTAGCCATAATTTTTCAAAATAATAAAAAAAAAAATTGTGCATCAGTTCTTCCTTATAATTATACACATCATGCGTGAAATGTGATTAACGTTTCATTTGAATTTTTTAGGCAAAACTCTAAACGTATTTACGGTTACTTGGCTCAGAATAATAGCTTTGACAGGCAGGTTTATCTTTTTTTTAAAGAATATCGAAACACGACTTTAGGGCACCTTTATAATATAATCCTAGAAAGGACGGTGTGTCTTGGGCGGATCACGTTGCCTCTAATTCATTTCGCTGTTCCCGTCCTAATTTATTCAAAAGTTTATATGAAGTATACTCTGTCGTATTTAATTTGATTTTGTTGGACATTGTGTTATGTTATAAAATTTAGTGTTGATATTGCTTTGATTGTTTTAAATCGGCTTTTTCACTCGAGCCACAATTATATACCATGTTACTTTTTAGTAGAATTAGGAATTGAAATGAAATGGGGTTTAATGTCAAACTTTTTTGCACCAACCGGGAATTGAAGACGGCAGTAGCCTATCTATAAGGGGCATTTTGAAAGAAGTACGTCACTAGACATCTTTCCTTGCTATATTATTATTCATGTTGATAATATATTGACTTGACCACACCTATCATATACCTTGGATGCTTTTAATTAAATTAGATCAAGCCATTCCAAAATTCTGAACCGTATAAAACAAACGGCATTTCTATTTTGATACTAAATAAATGCGTGGTGTACATTCATCACATGACTATGGCATAAGAATTGCAAGCTATGTAAAATATTTATAGAAAACTGATTAATAAAATATTCTGGTTTATCCAGTCGTTTGTTGCATGTCCATTCAGTACTTGAATATCCAGTAACACTGGCTGACTCACCTTTGAACTACTTTTACCCGTCTTGTTCTGTGCTCGACTTTCATTGGTTAACTGTACCCGTGTCGCAGGTAATGTAATAGTGTCAGGTGCGCCATATTGTTTACAAAATAATCTTGTGTTGTTATCGAGTTATCAGGATTTTTGTTGTTTTAATAGATCTGAATATTGTTTTATTTGAAAGTGAGCTTACCGGAGTTATCTCAGACTTGACAGGGATAAGAACAGCTATTTGACCCCCATGTTTATAGTTTGATTCACTTGTGTGGATATGTTGAAAAGCAATTTTATTTCGTAAACTCAGTAGGCCTAATCTAAATGTGAAATTTACAACAAAATGTCCAAAAAAGATCGTCGACGTGTTCTTGCTGCTATTTGGGGATGCCCTACAAGGTTTCATCTGGACTTTTTCGATGAAGATGACCATGTTGTGGTGTCTTGTGGTAATAAAAGTGTTGTAGGATGGTGGTTGGATCTGTTTAAAACTGCCTATCCTAATATTAACTGTCTGGAGAAAAATGACATCATCAAGCTAAAACCCAGAGTTCATGTTACCTTAAAATTAAATAAAGTTACTGGATTACTAAAAATAACAGGTAATAACATTTAAGAGGTATACCCTACCACCAATAAACCAAATCTACTTGATTTTATATAATATCATGTCTCACATTACCTGACTATTTAAAATTCAAACACTGCACTGACCTACATGTACATACATAGAGTTAATTTAAGCATTTCTTTTACTTTGGTTCGTTTTAAACGCCTTAATTGATAGGATGGATTGGTGTTGAACATCATGACAATACAATACTTTGGTCATTTGAAAACTGACTAACAGTTATTTTATTCTATAGTCATACCTATTCTTCATCGAATTTCAACTGTTTCTGTTGTTTTTTTATTTGAACTACAGTGCAGACACAGTGGACCTTGGTTTTATGTCCCATCCGAATGATTAAGCAACCTTTTTCTTGTCAGCCACACATTCTACCCCAGCAAGTGGTAACTGGGTATTCTAGTCAAGATTCACTGTATCTCTCACTGATCATGGGCGTGGATTTAGGGGGGGGGGGGGAATGAATAGGTCTCTTGCACCCCCCCCCCCCCCTCCATGATTTTGATCGTCAGGACAGATTTTCAGGTTTATATCCACATGAATGCACCGTTCTAAAATTCATAGAGTAACAGTCCTGATCGTAGAATGAACGTCTATGGCCAATTCAGTTAACTTCATGAACAATTAATATTTGTGCAGCTTTAATGTAGGTAGTCAATTTTTCCATATCGTCATCATATTACCCCTGGGCCCTAGTTACCGCTTTCATCAAAATAACACTGGTACAGTAACCTGTTCGTAATTATTATTTGGGTTTGGTAATGAAATGTTCCAGGTTCCAGGGTTCGTCCATCCCCCCCCCCAAAAGTTAGGACAAATCCACGCCCTTGTCACAGATTCCTTTATAAAATTTTGCATACAATCTTATTGAAGTGTAAATTATGTTTTTGTAGGTAAAAATCACTGGCAGTGGTTGGTGGAATGTTTAGCTGATTTATTTGAAGATGGAAATGCAGACGCTGAAACTATTGTCTCCATGTCAGAAAATTCTGTTACACGTTATCTACAGTTAGATAAAGATGATGAAGAGGTAAATATCTTTTTGACAGAAAAAGTTCTTGACGCTAAACCAGTGTTTAACTTCTGAATGGGGCATAGTGATTTTTCATAGAAATAATTTAAAAGCTGGTTAGAAAAAACATATCTATGGCATCAAGATCTAGATTCCCACTGCAGTTAGTAACAAGTGAATAAAACTTGCAAAGAAGTTCTAATTAAAACTTCTATTGAAAGAATATATCCTGTAGACCAAATGGTCTAATCAGGGTGGGTTGCACTTTGGATTGAAAATCTTAAGTGGACCATGGGATAATTAAGTTTGAGGAACACTGCTTTAAACCGTTTTAGTGGAATATAAAATGACTAGGTCGATCTACCTGGAAGCCAGAGTTAAAAGCGTTTAGATTTTAGGAGAATTTTAGCCATGGTTTCTGGGCTACTGTCACACTTGCTATTATAAGTAAGAAGAGTGAACGTGCTTGAATGTATCAATAATTAATATGCATAATTGAAAGAGGGCAGTATTTATTGTAAGGAAAGCATGTCTAGTTATTCAGATTTCAGATCTAATGACATTGACATGTGCATAAAAAGGCCCCTTGATGAAATCATAAGTACTTGAAGTGTAAATGCCATTTCTTGGGGAAATTTCTCTTTTCCTGCATCTTGCATTGCACAAAGGACTATAGAAAATAAACATGACCATGTCAGAAACCTAGGTAACAGGTTTAAAGATGTCTAACTTCATTGCTTTACTTCAAAAGTCTTCAGATCTGAATTGAAAATAAACATGACCATGTTAGTAACCTAGGTATAAAAAATTCAAAAGTACAACTAAAATCAATGTCTTAGCTGTGTGAACTCCTCAAATATAAATAAATTTTTGTGAATTGTATTTTGTAGATTCAAGATTTATTAGATCAGATACCTGAGGGTGGAGGTATTATGACTCATGATTATATAATGAGATTATGGAAAACTTTATTAGATGATTGGTTTGGTGTTGGAGCATGTGTTTATATTGTTACTCCAAAGATAGACTCTGAACGCTTATTCCAGTGCATGCTCCTTATGGTCAGGAACAAAGGGACTGGTTTTAAATGCACATTAATTACTCCTGCGAAATCCTCTGATGGTGAAAAGTATGAAAAAACCCTTGAAAAGACAAAACGAAGAATGAAAGAAGTTAAAACAGTACATCAGAAAAGACTATTAAGTGACGTCAAGATACAGTGGGTTATGGATAATTTGGAGGTACGCCATGAAGTATTCTCAACTAATTTTGTGGCTGCGTATAAAGACAATGAAGCCGAGGTTTTAACAACTACGGCTCACTTTCACAAAAGCCATTTTCATTTCAACCAGAAAGATAATGTCTGTTACAACCGTTTGCCTACTAATGACTTGAAGAGGAATTATCTCTTTCCTCTTGGGATAGGAAGTAATGTCTTTTAATTTGTTCTCATATATTATTCAATTGTGATCCGTGCCAAGGAAAATTGTGTAACTGGATTGTGATAAAATGTTTCCTCTCTTTGTATGTACATGTATTAATGCCAACCAGCAATTTAGTTTCGATACCAACTACGCATTAAAAATTTGTGAATATTGGTGATATGAACATGATTAGCTATAACACTACTAATTCAAATCAAGTCATACCAACCGTGAATTTAATTTTATTACCACTTTGTATTTTATCCTATGATTTAAAAACATGTTATTTTAATATATCCTATTTTAAACATATATTATGCAAGAGCTAAGTCTGCCTATTGCAGGTCTTTCTTGAAGCCTGAAATGTTATCTAAATTATTAATCAACATATCCAGTCCATAATCAACTCTCGATGCCATTGTTAGCCCGCGATATTTAGTGGATTTGAATACATTTTGTGATGGATAATTTAACGTAAAAATGGATAATAAAGACTTTGTTTAATATCGTGCCAACTTTAGTAAATAACGATCGAGGCTAGCCTAAAATTGAATTGCTAACAGAGGAAGCAATTTGAGTGAAATTTTCAGCATATTCTGCTTTCATTATCTATTTTATTTTAACTATTGTAGCGAGAACTGTCAGCTCTTTATTTAATCTTACCTAATTACCCTTTAATATATGCAATTATTAATTTAGATTTAATATAAGTCAAAATCATTGTGCATAGTTTGTTAATTATTTTATCTACTTCATTATTAATGTAAAACAACAAAGATTCACATGTAAAGTTAAAGCCATGCCACAGTATTTATTATGTACCGTTTAGTTTTTAAAATGTGTTGAATTGTATGTAATCAATGTGTTGAATTGTATGTAATCAAAACTGCTCAATCGCTATACTATGAAGTTTAAATAAACAAAATTGTAAATTTAACAGTCATCTTGTTTGAATTTCCAAAGGAAAAATCCTTTTTTTATATAAATTTGTATTCACAATTAATTTCAACATCTTGGTTTAGTTTTCTAGCATCTTTCCAAAGTGTGAATACAAAATCAGAAGAGTTAACATGGTGAGGTATATAAATCACAATACTCTTCTCCCACACAAAAAATTAATTTGTTGAAATTAGTGCATCCTGTCATTTTGAAATCTGTTCTACAATGAATGGCTTCATGATTTATCTTATTTATCATTATGAAGGATGTTGTGTTTGAGAATAATATAGCTTATTTATGATGTAAACCAGCGGTTAACAGGCATGATACGCCCACATTTTGCAAAATATGGATATAGAACAACCTAAAAACAAAAGCAATTTTTCGTACAAACAAGTGGCTATACATGTAATCCAGAAAGTTATGGTCTGAAATGCGCAAATATCAAAAGGGACCGAGATCTTTGGGATATAAACATATATTTTAAGTTTCATCAAAACGGATAAAAATTGTGACCTCTAGAGGGTCCACAACCTTCGTTATCACATACTTTGACACAATTTGTGTACAAAGAGCGACCATTTTGTCGGGCAGTTTCATTTCGATTTTCCCGAAATTGAATTCAACCTCCATTATGGTGGAATGGTGATATATTTAAATGGTTTTTAAAATCGGATAAAAAAAATTGTGACCTCTAAGAGATTCCACAAGCTAAAAAACTTGATTTTTTAGTATAATCAGGGACCATAATCCAGGAAGTTAAGGTCTGATATGCGCAAATAGCGAAAGGAACCGAGATCTTTGGGATATAAACTTATAAACATATATTTTTAAGTTTCATCAAAATCTAATAACAATTGGTCCGAAATTTGAACTCAACCGTAATTAGGATGTAACGGTGATAAATTTAAACGTTTTTTACAATTGGATAAAAATTGTGACCTGTAGAGGGTCCAGAAGCTAAATACGTGATTTTTCGTTCAACCAGGGGCCATAATCCAGGAAGTTACCACGATCTTTGGATTATAAACATACCTTTTAAGTTTCATCAAATTCGGATAAAAATTGTGACTTCTAGAGTGACCACAATCTTGGTATTACATACTTTTACACTATTTGCGTACAAGGAGTGGCCATTCTGTCTGGCAGTTCCGATCAGATTTTACAAAATTCAAACTCCACCTTCATTGATGTGTAATGGTGATATATTTAAACAGTTTTTAAAATTGAATACAAACGGTGTTTTCTAGCGGGTACTCAAGCTAAAAATGCGATTTTTCAAACAATCAGGGGCCATAATCCAAGAAGTTACATTCTGATATGCGTGATTATCGAACGGAACCAAGATCTTTGTGATAAACATGCATTTCAAGTTTCATCAAAATCGGATGAAAATTGTGTAGAGCGTCCACAAGCTAAAAACGTGATTTTTCATACAATCAGAGGCCATAACCCATGAAGTTATTGTCCGATACATGCCAATATCGAAAGGGAACCAAAATCTTTGGGAGATAGACCTATATTTCATGTTTCGTCAAAATCGGATAAAAATTGTGACCTGTAGAGTGTCCACAAATACAGTGTGGACTGATGGACGGCATATGTCCACATGCAAATGTAGGCATATAACAAAATGAAATGGGGTTTAATGTCCTACTTTTCGCACCTTTATGCTGTAAACTAAGTTACAGAACATAAATGTGCATTGAAATTAATGTGGTAGACCTATATTTCATGTTTCGTCAAAATCGGATAAAAATTGTGACCTGTAGAGTGTCCACAAATACAGTGTGGACTGATGGACGGCATATGTCCACATGCAAATGTAGGCATATAACAAAATGAAATGGGGTTTAATGTCCTACTTTTCGCACCTTTATGCTGTAAACTAAGTTACAGAACATAAATGTGCATTGAAATTAATGTGATAGACCTATATTTCATGTTTCGTCAAAATCGGATAAAAATTGTGACCTGTAGAGTGTCCACAAATACAGTGTGGACTGATGGACGGCATTTGTCCACATGCAAATGTAGGCATATAACAAAATGAAATGGGGTTTAATGTCCTACTTTTCGCACCTTTATGCTGTAAACTAAGTTACAGAACATAAATGTGCATTGAAATTAATGTGGTAGATGATATTTATATGCATTAGTTTCAGTTTTCAGCTGTACATGTATATTGAAACACTTACACCCATCAACAATATTCTGACAAATAACATATACAACTAGTTTTTATTCTCTTACAGAGATATTTTATTCTTAAACAGCTCATGATCTTTAAAGAAAAGCTTGAATTTATTCACTAAGATTCCAGTTGTAGTAATTTAACAAACTTTAGTCAAAGATTAAATCATGACCATTATCAGTCAATAAAGGTGAACCACTACATTACAGGTTTTCAAGGAAAAGAAATAAGGTCATCTCTAATGTCTACACAACTTGTATCTTCAATCTAATAAACATCTTTTGTATTGTAGTTTACGTAAATCACAGGAGCTTACAAATTCAACTACATGTATTCATTGCTTTTACCAAATCAAATAACTAGGTTGAAAACACTCCAGTAACAAGGATACTGTTTTCATTTTTTATGTAGCTTGTTTAGAGGACTGTATGTTTTCGTGTACTCTGGGTGATATGAGTGATATGGCAGATTTATCAGAATGATGAAGCCTTTGACTATGTATAGCAACTACAGTACTGATAAAAATTTGTCGCCAAAAAATAGTTATTGTCTGCTTTCACAAAAGGTACCTGCTGTTTTTAAATGCACTGTGCCAGAAAGGGAAATAACTCTGTAATGTAGCTTCTTCTCCATAGTTGACAGTTAGGTGAAATAATAAAACTGGCCAATTTTTAGTTTAAATTATTCTATTAGAATGTTTTAGAATGAATTTCCTGCATATTAAGGACACAAATAAGATATGTAACTAATGATTCTAGAAAGTATATTATGTAACAACAACAGCAATAAATTAAGGCAAAAAATTCACACAATGATATTTTCCCCTTTTATCAGTTGAAAGGAAAAGAACATCTGTTATAAACTAGCAGCTTGTTTTTAGACCATAGACAAGAATTTTTGAGACAAAAATTAATTAACATAGTAGAATCTGACTGACAGCCTGAAGTCTACTTTAACAATGACACCTATTAGTATTAAAGGAGGTTTATTTAAGATCTTAAAAGTAATGACACAAACCCATCAAATTTAAATGCGAGTGCACAAAAAAAATCATAAGAGTATGACAAAATTAACATAAAAATAATTAATTGAAAATTTCATCATAATCTGTTGAAATTTTTAATGTGATGATAGCAAGTAACTTGAGTGTTTACTTTTGCTATTTTCCTTACAATGACTTTACTAAACTGAACTTAGAAATAAGATATACTGTGCATTTCTATCCTGACAAAAGCTAAAAAATCAGACAAATAAGGACTTGCTTGACAGACTGTTATTAAAATCCATCTGCAGTTAATAAAGTTATTGTGCATCAAACTTTCAACCAATCAGAAGTTACCTAATCAAATATGTATGAAATAAGATTAGTTGTCTTAAAATGAAGCCACTCCATGTTTCATTCAAATTGGATTATTTTTAGATAAATTAATATATGTCAAAACCTCATGGACGGAATGACACAAAGATGGACTTGTTTTAAAATATTGTAAATCTGTTGCATCTTTTCAAATGATATTCTTGTCTATGGTTAAAATATCCCCCTTGGTCTGAATAATTATTAAACTTTTGACTGTGTGTGTATATATATATATATATAACAAAACATGTACATGTTCCTTTTTAAAATATTTTTTTCTCAGAAATAAGCCTTGCTTGTGTTCGACACTTTACTTATATTATTAATAATTTGTATGTTACATTACAGTACCAGATGTATATATATATATATATATACCCAAGAAAAAAAAGTTTAATATTCAAACTTTGAAATAGCGTTATCATAACTATATATGTACAGTTGGACCTCTGTATATGCCATAAAGATATCAAAGATATAGCATATAATGGCCTCATTTGAATGAATATTCTTGAAGTTTATTTACTTTATTAGTCTGGTCTAACTAAATTTAGACCCATTACACAAATCTTTATATGTACACTGAAGAAAATTCACATATTTACAAAGCAAAATATTTATAAAGATATTTACAAAGATTAAATAATTGACAATACATGTACATAAACAATAGTTTATATATAAGAAGTTTTATATTTACATGTTTACAATTAGAACTTTTCTTCATTCGAATCTCATTCATACCACAATCATACTAAAACATAAAAGATCATTGCACCAAGTTTACACTATATAAAACAAATGATTATTCTTTAAATTCATCCAGATCTCTAGATTGGTAAACTCTACCTGAAGGCATTAACAAATAACACAATAATATGGCTATAGAATATTATCTAAGCTACAAAACCCACATGGAGTTACACAAGCCCCAGTTGGCTTAACTGTTGATTTTGTTCCATAAATTAACTGAATTCTTAAGAAAGCCACTCACTTTAGAAATGGGCAGCAACAGAGGTATGGTCCTCCCTATATAAGCAAGAATTTTATGATTGGATGCCAATAGAACACTTGACAGAGATCAACCTTGTAGTTGTTTCATACGGAATCTAAGCGTGTGCTGTCAGCTGTAACTGAAGACAACTAGCTCAAAGCATAGAAAGCATGAGTTGTTTGTGAAATGAACATTAGATCCCCAGCAGTATTTTCAATACAATGCTTTGAGAATTTTTATCAATATTCAGAATACTGAAAACCAGGGTTAGAACAAATTTTCATTTTAGTACATTTTCAAAATGACTTAACATGGGTTTGGATTCATACATGTAAATTCGACTCATAAAACACAAAATGGTTTTGATAAGAGCTGGCTGTTCTTTCTATAATAGTTCATCAAGTGTTTGCCATGCAAGACATGCCCACATTTTGCAAGAAGTGGGCAAGCTAAAAGTACAATTTTCGTACAATAAAGGGCCATAACCCACATTGTTAAAATCTGACATTAGTCAATATCAAAAGGAATCGAGATGTTTCGGATATAAACATATATTTTACGTTTCATCAAAATCGGAAAAAAATTTGACCTCTAGATCAGAGGGCCCACAACCTTGGTATTACATGCTTTTACACTATTTGCGAAAAGGGGATATCACGATATCTGAACTCAACATCAATTACGGTCTAACTGTGATATTTTGAACATTTTTTAAAATCAAATTAAAATTGTGACCTCTAGAGGGTCCATAAGCTAAAAACACAATTTTTTGTACAATCAGGAGCCATAATCCAGGAAGTTACATTCCGATATGCATGAATATCAAAAGGAAGTATGATTTTTGGGATATAACCATCTCTTAAGCGTCATCAAAACCAGATAACAAGAGCATCGCTAACGCTGCAATATACGTCCACATTCCAGTTTTGATTGATATGGTACTTTTTAAAATGAAGAGAATGAAATATGAAATGGCTGTAATATGATCAGAGGCCAAGAAGGCTAGGCGTCGGGTTTGTTTTGCCAAATTTACAGACAAAATACTAACAATAAAGTGGGCGTGACACTGCCCTACGAGGTCGGGGCAAGCATCAAAATAAATAGTTGCTGTCTTTATGGTTTAAGGAATAAATATGCAAAATTCCAAGATGATCCATTCAGAATTGCAGCCTGTAGACCACAAATACAAAAACTGGGCGTGGCTCTGCCCATGGGGGTTGGATATGGAAACAATATAAATAGGTACCATCCTGTTATTGAAATGACAACATCAATAGTTGCCGTCCTTAATGTATAAGGAATAAGTATACCAAGTTCCAAGATAATCCATTCAGAATTGTGGCCTTTGGGCGTTAAAGCCAAAAATTGGGCGTTGCTCTGCCCCTGGGCGTCGGGGCATTCACCAAAATCAATAGTTGATGCCCTTAGGCTATAAGGAATACATATGCCAAATACCAAGTTGATCCATTCAGAATTCCGGCCTGTAAACGATAAACATAAAAATTGGGCGTGGCTCTGCCCCTGGGGGTTGTGACATGCAAGTGTCGTCCTTAGGCTATAAGGAAACATATCCCAAGTTCAAAGACAATCCATTAAGAATCGTGGCCTGTAGGCAACTCACAGAGACACAAAGAACAAAATGGGTGTGGCTCTGCCCCTGGGGGTTGGGCAATCACCAAAAAAATAGAGGTCATCCTTAGGGTATAACGTATAGGTATAAAAAAGTTTTTCGAGATCATCGATTAAGCATTGAAGGATGTAAGTGACATACAGACACACAAAAAGAAAATGGGTGTGGCTCTGTCCCTGGGGGCTGGGCATTCACCACAAACAATAGGGATGTTCCTTAGGATAGAAGGAGTAAGTATGCAAAGTTTCAATGTGATACGTTAAGAAATGCGGTCTGTAGACGACAAACAAACAAATACTAGAAATGGGCGTGGCTCTGCCCCTGGGGGTCGGGCATGCACCAAAAACAATAGGGATCTTCCTTGGGGTATAAGGAATAAGTATACCAAGTTTGAAGAAAATCCAGTAAGAATTGCGCCCTGTAGGCGACACAAAGACACACGAAAAGAAAATGGGCGTGGCTCTGCCCCTGGGGGTTGGGCATGCACCCCAAACGATAGGGATGTTCCTTAGGGTACAAAGAATGTGTATGCAAAGTTTCAAGATTATTAGTTAAGAAATGTGGCCTGTAGACGACAAACAAACAAATACTAGAAATGGGCGTGGCTCTGCCCCGGGGGGTCGGGCATGCACCAAAAACAATAGGGATCTTCCTTGGGGTATAAGGAATAAGTATACCAAGTTTGAAGAAAATCCATGAAGAATTGCGCCCTGTAGGCGAACCACAGACACACACACACACATACATACATACACACACACACACACACACACAGACAGGGGCGACGGCATAATACGTTCACATTATGAATGTGGACGTATAAAAAGTGTGGCAGTTTGGTCTGATTTTCACAAAATTCAAACTAAATTGGCATTATGATGTAACACTGACATATTAGAACATTTTTTAAATTGGATAAAAATTCCGACCCCTTGATGATCTACAAGCAGAAAATGCAATTTTACGTACAATCAGGGGCCATAATAATCCAGAAAGTTAAGGTCAGATGTGCACGAATATTGAAAGGAAGCTTCATTAAATCAGATTAAAATTGTAACCCCTGGAGTGTCCACAAACAAAATGCGAATGGACATACAGGCACACGGATGGACAGGGGCAACGATAACATGAAAATGTGGGCGTATATAAATAAAGAAAATTAAAAATGAACGTATAGAAAATTTCATTCAAATTACTATTCTGTGCAAAGTTATGACTGAAGATTTAGCGTAGATCATTTATTATTGTAGTAACGAAACTTGACAACCAAGACTCTGTCTTAATTATCCATTTAATCCTTAAATTTTCAAATCATGCAGGTGTTCAAATCCATTTAAATCTCAGCCATCTGATGGTCCAGAGAGTTGATAATAGGCTTGGCATGTGAATAAATGTTTAAATAATAATACACAGAAGATTTGAAGCCAGAAAAAAAAACCCTGCAATAGGCAGATTTAGCTCTTACATACATGTAATGCATCTTTAATAGAAGTACAGAACTATATAATTTATATTTGGCACTTTATTAAATTTAATCAGGATATGCATTAAGAAGCATCAAAGCGTGTTTTGATGGAAACTGTGGTTCTAGTTGAAAACATAACACACATGTAATGAAATCTGTGAATAAGCAATACATTTTAATGCTGTATAAATTATATGTGGAAATGATGACATTAATTAACCCTCATGTGATGTTCAAAGAATTTGAAAAACAATATATTTTAAGACTAGGATTCTTTTTTTTTCCGTAGAACTGAAAATTGCCTACGAAATATTAAATGAACCTGCAACTGTTAAATTCTTTTGGACTCTAGATTTAGCTCATCTTCTCTTAAAGAGAAATAATGAAAAGCTAAATTAGAAACACTACCATAATCTAGTTTCTATGATTCAGATAAGTCTTCAGAAGTATGCAAAAAATATAAACAAGCAAATGCCCTTATAGAACAACAAACAGATTTGAAATTACAAATCTTCAACAAATCCAATTGCATTAAAAATTACAATATTCCATATTGCTGACACAACAATCGCACATCAAATGATGACTTGAACACACATATATATATATATAGGTATATATAATGTGACCACACACTTACACACTTAGCACTTGTTAAATAGATTACATTAAAAATGAAGCCTTGTTGGATGAATGTAGTAGTGCACACACATAATTAAACTTTTACAGCACAAAGACTGAGCTTTTGAGAGAGGCATGATCCATAACTGACTAAAACGATTCACCCATCAAAAAAATGAAATCAAAAGAAAAATACTCATTTTTAATATCAGACACATACAATTATCACTTTAAATATATTTAAATGACCAGTGTTCAGACTTCAAAGATCAATGGTTCAAACCAGAGTTTGCAGAGAGAACATCTGCTACATATGCTTTGACTATATATCAGCACTATCTTTTCTTCCCTCCTAACATCACAGCAGATCCAGGAATGAGGCTAACAGTAAAATGAGAAAGACACAGTAGATTACCATGGCAACATGGCCACAAACCCTATCAGAATGTCAATGAGTTAATATAATGATACACGTAGTTGATTCATTCTGCGACTACACAGATAACATGGCCACCAAACATTCAATCACATATTTGACTTGTGATTTGAATGTCTTCATCAACTGTTTTAACATCCAGGGATTGATTTCACTGTCTACATGAATAACTTGACGTAGATAGATCGAGACATCAGTAAATAGTGATTTAACATTCATTATGTGTTGATGCAAAACAAAATCCTGTAAGATTCATTTTTCCCCTGTATTGATACAAACTTTTTCGGGTCTTCTACTTTCATTTTTTTTCCTGATGTTGAGTAGTTGAAATGTTGGTTTATATTGTAACACTGGTGTTATCAATCCCTATTGTAAGACAGTCTACAGTTGGATTGTTGGATGTCAAACCATCAATAATCACCTCCTTGTATAAAGTTAAACTGTGCAAAAGGAGTGTTTATAGGAGTCTTAGGAGAAGGACACATGTAGCGAAAATCGAGATCAAAGGAATCTGTTCTGTGAATCGCAGGTTCTGATTTGCTGCGTTTTATCTTTGGTATTGAATTGTACAATGACTCGAGACTGGCCAGCAGCTGAAAATTCAAAAACATTATAAAATACAATAACAAGAATCGGCAGGTTAACAAGAATTTTTTGTCCATTCAAACTACAATAGTGTGAAAAATGAATTTCTAAAAAGTCCAAAAATTGTTTAATTCTGTTCAGTATTGACAAAGATATGATGATTTGAAACTTTTGCAACCTTCGGTATCCTCCATCAATGATATGAATAAGACAACACTTTACCCTCCAGAAGGTGGAATGGACAAAATACAACTAGTGATGGTCCGATATGGCACCTATCGGTTTTACCGATATCAGAAATTGACAGCGATATATTTGCCAATACAGATACAATTAACCGATAGTGGTGGATATAAAACTATTACACATTGTAATGTCTCCAATGGCATGATAATCTATGTAGATATTTGTCATTGTTAATCGGGAAACACATGGTACTATTCTACCTCCAGAATCAAACACGGACACAATGTTTTTCAAGTAATAATTGGGTCATGCTATCCTACACAATCAAAAGCACACGCCATCTGTTATGCACTTACTTATTTGCTGTATCATTAATAAAGTAAGTCGAGATTATCATAATTTAAGTGTTGATTACGATATAATTCCTAAAGTGATCAGCACCTGTATGTCTATAATGTTAGAATGGTTCAGGCGGTAATGAATGAAACATCAAAGTGATAGCTTCCTGACCTGTCTGTCAACAGTGGCAATCATGGGAACTTATTTGTTGGTAATATTATTACTTAATAAAGTATGATTTAACACATGACACAATTATATGGAATACAAGTTACTTGAAGAGTTTATTTCAGCGACGTTTTGACGAGGGTTCTCCCATCTTTATCTTTGCTTGATAAAGACGGGAGAACCCTCGTCGGAAAAGTTGCGGAAATAAACACTTTAAGTAACTTGTATTCCATATAATTGTGTCATGTGTTATTCTCATCCAGTTACTAAATGTCACTTAAAAAATTTAAAGTATGATTTATATTATGAGTAATTATCTAGAAGCCTGAATGTCTAGACAGTAATTACGCGACTTCTAGGGTTATTCCCCCCCCCCCACTTTCATCCTTCATTCCAATCACGCGTAAACCATGTGATATTTACCGCACCTTTTCCAAAAGTTCTACTCAATATGATAGTATGCAGGCAATACCAGCAGTGAACTAGATAAAACGAAGGGAAAAAATGTCGCAAAGTAGTAAGATTTGGAAATATTTCACGATAAGTGTTACAAAATGACATGTTACGCCCCCTTGCCATCTTGACATGTGAAAGTAATTTGAATATCAAATCCACCTGCCGACCCCTGTAGATCTTGGTCGCATTATGTAACTTATGTAACTTTAACTTGTCGATGGCATGTCTTATCTTACTTCTTTGTCTGATAAACTATACTGAACTTTAACTGATATGAAACATGATACATTATAGCAGATGCCTAATGAGATTCCTTTGTGTGTGGAAAGGTTTATAAACCCAGATTAAGAAACAAATAGAAAGAGAGGTCCAGGCAGGACATGAGGGCAGGCGGAGGCTAGGCGACGTCTGGTAGTTAACTCCAGGCCAGGCAGGTTTGGAGTTAAGACCGGACAACGGCCAACTAATGTAATTTAGTCCTGGGTGTCTTTAACATTACGATGTTTGTACATAATATGTTAGAAGCAGAATAAAAGTATTAATAGAAGCTGAAACTAGTCTTGTCATCCGAACCTGATAAAAGAACCAATACTGTCACATAAGTGACAGAGATCAAAATCAAAGTAAGGCCAAATGTAAGACTTGCGATGCTTCATACCAGCACGTTATGCCTTGATGAGCCATTACTGGCATCTTCTTTAGTTTTTTTATCATGATAGACAAATAGGCTAACTATTGTGAAGACCATTGTATATTTCATAGTTAATAAATTTGTTATTACTCAGAAACAATTTAAATAAAAAATTCAATAGCCTAATTAGGTATTGTTCTAGTTTGGGACCTTGTAATATCAACACGCATTGAAAACTAATGAAAACAGATATTGGCAACTCCGGTACCGGCAAAAAGGCTGTGTATAGGCTGATACCGATTTCTCCCGATATGCCACTTATCGGCCAATTACCAATTATCGGACCATCACTAAATACAGCCGATTAAAGTGCAACTTTAGGTAAGGTATGGATGTTGGATACAGCCCTAAAAGGCCTACCAACTGTCCTTATATTTCCCATTTCTATGAGTAAACAAACTTTAAAGTAATAAATAAGAAAAATTACCTGTTGAAATAAAGGTCGATTATCTCGATCATACTGACAACTATCTAACATGTGACGTTTAAATGCTTTAGGAGTATCTGTACGAGCTCGACTTACATCTGGTCTTAAATAACCTTTACCCACCATAAACAATATCTAACAGAAATACAACAAATACATCATTTATTGGTAAATAGAATCTTAAAATGGATTATATATAATTTAAATCAGGATTACAAAACAAATATTTAAGACATAATCTGAAAATAATGTTGAAGCGGAATGGAGTAGAATGTCTTGTCCAAACAATGCATCAATCATTTTGGCACTGACAAGGTTTTTTCAGTGGTCATGTGTAACACTATGGAGGAGAATCTTGCTCAGATTGAGGTGTTAACACCTATCCTTCAACAAATTCTGTGCACGAAACAGTTTTATGTAATATCCACTTTCATCGGATAAATTTCAAAATATCTATGGTTCTAGTAAGGGCAAGTTAAAGCACACACAGGTGCACCAACTGATCGACTAAGCAGAGCTTTACTTGTTGCAAAAGAGATTATTGTTTTACTAATATAAGAGCGAAAATGGCAAACTACCTGCTACATCATGGTAACATCAAGGTAGAATAATAATAATTTAATAAACCTACCTGATCTTTATTACTAATATTACAATACGGTAATTCCCCTGTCATCAATTCATACTGTACAATACCAAATGCATACACATCAGATTGAAATGTATAGGGATTCTGTTCTTTCATTTGAATAACTTCCGGTGCCTGAAATAAACACCATTGAACAATTACATAATAAACATTACCATGGATAGATGAACAGATGACATACTATATGACTCTTTGCACAGCAATGGCACATATTACTCCCACCAGGAAGATTAAAAGAAATGTAATAATAGGCCATTTATCTATTTTGATTCATACCAAAGGGACCATTTTATGAATTTAAATTTCATATATTGGGATAGCTTAGCAGGTCTGCTTCTTCATATGAGTGTTTACGTAACAGTACCCAAGAGATAGTATAACAAGCCAACAGTGAGGCTGATGTCCCCCGCCGAAATCCCAAAATAAATAGGTGACACATCAAGCAATCAAACTATACACTAAGTTTCATCACTCTCTATCAGATAGAATCAAGATTATCTTGTCCCAAAGCATTGACCAATGAAATTGATTAGCTCTGCTTAGCTTCAGCTCGAAATGTTAATCATTGAACTCAGTCAAGACATTCACCTAATGAACATCTACATCAAGTCTAAACATTCTATCTCAATTAAAAGCAGAGTTGTTATGTTCCAAAGTCTTGACCAATCAAATTGCTTATCGCTCATTAGCCTAAGCAGAAAATTCTCACCATCAAAATTAGTCAAGGTAATGATATAATGAATCTATATTCGGAGTTCCATCGCTCTCACTTCATTATAACCAAAGTTATCGTGCCTCAAAGCATCAACCAATCAGATTGCTTATTTCTGCTTACCTCAAGCAGACAATGTTTATCATAGAACTCCATCAAGGCATTCACCTAATGAACGTCTACACCAAGTTTAAACATTCTACCTCAATTAGAAGGAGAGTTATTGTGTTCCAAAGTCTCGACCAATCAAATTGTTTATCGCTCTGCTTACCCTCAGCAGAAAATATTCATAATCCAGTCAATGTATTGATGTAATAAAGCTATACACCAAGTGTCCTCACCCTCACTTAATTAGAACTAAAGTTAGTGTGTCTCAAGTATATCAACCAATCAAATTGCTTATCTCTGCTTACCCTAAGTCGAAAATTCTCATCTTCGAACTCCATCAAGGCATTCATCTAATAGACACCTATACCAAGTGTGAACATTCTAGCTCAATTAGAATGAGAGTTATTGTGTTCCAAAGTCTTGACCAATCAAATTGCTTATCGCTCTGCTTACCCTGAGCAGAAAATGCTCATTATTGACATTACCAAACTTAGTCAAGGTATTGATGTAATGAAACTATACACCAAGTTTCATCACTCTGACTTAATTAGAACTAAAGTTATCCTTCCAAAAGCATCAACCAATCAAATTGCTTATCTCTGCTTACCCTAAGCAGAAAATGCTCATCTTCGAACTCCATCAAGGCATTCACCTAATAAACCCCTACACCAAGTTTGAAGATTCTAGGTCAATTAGAAGGAGAGTTATTGTGTTCCAAGGTCTCGACCAATCAAATTGCTTATGGCTCTGCTTACCCTGAGCAGAAAATGCTCATTATCGAACTTAGTCAAGGTATTGATGTGATTAAACTATACAAGTTTCATCACTCTCACTTAATTAGAACTAAAGTTATCGTGTCCCAAAGCATCAACCAAATGAAATTGCTTATCTCTGCTTACCCTAAGCAGAAAATGCTCATCTTCGAACTCCATCAAGGCATTGACCTAATAAACACCTACACCAAGTTTGAACATTGTAGCTCAATTAGAAAGAGAGTTATTGTGTCCCAAAAAGTGTGACGGACGGACGGACGGACCGACGGACGGACCGACAGACACACGGACGAACCCATTTTAATAGTCCCCTGCTTTCTTCGAAAGGCGGGGGACAATAAATAATGACCATTTGAGGTTTAGAAATGTGTGTTTGACCCTTTGAAGGTAATAGTATGTTATTTCCACCTTATAATAACTTTGAATGGACTGTTTATTCCCATTACTTTTAAAATTATACATGAATTATCAATTGGCATAAATCAGATGGAAAATAACAACTGTTATATCTCTACAAAATTTATTTTCTTGATTTAATTATTTACAATAATTTTCATTCAATCTATGAATCATGTCAAAAAGGGTTGTCTCATATTTGATCTTTTGTAGGTAATGGAGGCATTTACAAGATAATTTCATGCAGATTAGATTATAATTTTCGTTCTTTGAGGAGTCTGAAGGTGCTACAAACTGAAACATGAGCATTAACTATGGAAGTAATATACAAAAATTGTTTAATATCGACAGCCTTTTTTGTTTTACTAATTTAAGTAATGCATATAAATTTCACATAGATCAGTTGATGACTTGTCATTCACATTGTTCAACAAGTAAAACTTGGCCCATAACTTGAGAAATTGGAAATTTCTAAAATTGAATAGGCTTCTTCACTTCTCTAATTTGAATGATGCATATAAATTTCATACAGATCGGATGATACCTTTAATCATTTGAGCATAACAAGGTTCAACAAAGTTAAATAAGGGTGATAACTCTAGAAGAAAATTGCTGAAATTCAATAGGCTTCTTCGTTTCAATAATTCAAACGATGTATACAAATGTCATACAGATCTGATGATAAATTTTGTTGTTGGAGCGTTCACAAAGTATAAAAAGATTGAAACAAGGGGTCATAACTCCAGAAAAAATTAAGGAAATTGCCAAAATTCACTTATTTTAATGATGCATATAAATTTCATACAGATCAGATGATAACTTTCGTTATTCGAGCGATCACAAGGTTCAATAAAGGGCCATAACTCTAAGACGTAATTAGCTGAAATTCAATAGGCTTCTTCGTTTCACTAATTTAAACAATTCCTATAAATTTCATACAGATCAGAGTTCTACGAGCGAAACAAGGGCCAAAACTCTACACATAATTAATGGAAATTACTGAAATTTAATAGGCTTCTTCGTGTCACTAATTTAATTAACGCATATAAATTTCATACAGATTAGACTATAACTTTCGTCATTAGAGCATTCACAGGGTGCAACAAAGTGAAACAAGGGCCATAACTTTAGATGTAAATAATGGAAATTGCTGGAATTCAAAAGGCTTCTTCGGTTCACTAATCTAAATAATGCATATAAATATCATACAACTTTTGTTGTTAGATCGGTCACAGGGTTTGACAAAGTGAAACAAGGGCCATAACTCTAGACATAATTAACGGAAAGTGCTGAAATTCAATAGGCTTCTTCGTTTCACTAAGTGTAAGTTGACATCATATTAAATAAGAAAAATTCCAATGTTTCTTTTGAGGTCTTAAAATTCAAAGTCTAGCTTCATAACAGCAATCACAGATTTTTGTAATTCTAGTACTTTTAAAGGGATTAAAACCTTTTAAAGGACTTACAATGACCCACTTTTAAGGCTTTTAAAAGACATGCTAAATATGTTCTAGCAGCCATTGGGTATTAATTACATGGAAGGTTTTTTGTATTGCATAAATTGCTTCTAAAACTTACCATCCATAATATGGAACCAGTTGGTTGTTGAAACTGATGAGATCCACTCCATCTTGTTTTCACGGTGGCCAGGCCGAAATCACCAATCTTTACAGTCATGTTATCTGATAAAACCTCTGTTAAAAATATATCTTAAACTTGGTTAAGGAAAATAGTTATAATCATTCTGTACAAAATACTATCAAAAATAGCAACATACATTGTATCATGCATGATAACTGAAGGAGGAACATGTCTGACTGACTGTAATTGTTATGACTATTTTTCATCAACAATCATTTTTGCTACTGTCAAAAATTGTCATTAACTTTATACCGTACTCAACTGATTTCAGAATTCCTATCTAAATTTTGAAAGTCCGATCTGTCTTGTTCAGAGGCAAGTGTTTTATGAGATAGAAAAAAGAATCAACCAAATTTCTTGGTCCTTTTATTCCTGGATGTTTGGAATATTTTGAAAAGGATACTGTTTGACTTTAAATCTCTGTGTATAATGTTTTTTGCATGAAGATAACTGAAAAATAAAAGGAATATATGTGTAACTTAACAAATTGAATTTTGACATGTCAGATTTTAAACTGATGTCCCTCGCCCCAATCCCCCCCCCAAAAAAAATATATGACACTCATTAATTACTTGTATACAGCTGTTGATCGCCATTTCCGCCAATTGCGATAAAAATATAATTTTGGCAATAAAATATTCAATCTGGCGAAATTTTTCGCGATTCCTGTATGGCGATTCTTTTTTAACCGCAGTGTATACTGGTTAAAGTCTATTGCGCTTAACTGAGTCAGTTATCGATCAGTTAGGTACCAATAATAGAGATATCTTTTGTCTCTTGATCAATCTCAGATTAGTGTTAATAAGTATTTACAGTAAGAGTAATAAACTAATTAAAAAACAAAAGATTTAATTATTTCTTTTCAAATACGAATCGGTGGCTTTTTTGATGGTTTCTATATATTCAAAATGGCGGACACTGTGAACAATACTTGTTCGATTTGTTTTAGATTGTTGGATTATGACTTCTGTTTGATCTTTTTCTTACTCCTTTGCCTGTATCGTTACTAATGACACCAGGTTTGTTGTTACAGTTTATAAATGCGTATATTCTTTTAATTGTCGAAAGTCAGTTATTATCAGATCATATGGCATGGGTCGTAAGTGAAAAATTGAACAGCCTACGTCAACGTCCGATAGAATAATGTCAATTTTTTAGTATGCCACCACCAAAATGCTCCAAGTCTTCAGATGATACTGCCATGATCAGCTCTTGCCCATCTGATAATATTACATCCTTGAATGTTGAAGCGATAACAACTTTCACAATAGGTCTGCATGTACCTCAAAAGTCCGTGGCAGAGAAAAATTTAGAAAAACATAAAATCTTAAGTGCATTTTGAAAAGGAAGATCTTTTACTTTAAGGGATGAATGGAAATTTTCAAATCCTTGTGATATCAGTAAGCGCTTGTTCACAATTCATGTAGCAACTGCAGACTGTGAAAGAGGGATTAGTTGACAAAATATTTAAAAAATAAACAAATACAGAAATTCATTAAAAATAAATACACTGTGTAATTTAATTTTACTAAGTATTGGAAAAGTGGTTACCCTAGATGTTGAAAAAGCATTCAAACAATGGGCGGAAAAATATATGGCTAATAAATTCAAATGAAAAATTGGCAGGAAAAAAAATGGAATCCAGAATGAGCACTGCTTGTATATTTATATTTTTCATAAAGCATCAACTTGTTTATCATCCTGATTAACAGGAGCAGTATTATTGAAGTTAGTCCAGGTGTTGATGCTACAAAACTTAAGACCAAGTTTCATTTTTATCAAAACCCATCCCCAAGATCGATTTTAGGCTAAGTGTCTGGCTGATCAAGTTAACTAAATCACACACGTCAATAAAACATTGTTTAACAAGCCTATGCATACATACATACCTTGTAATACTTAGGAAACCAAATTTATAGGTAAGGAGATTCATAATTGTTAATAGTCTGAATTGAATAGTCAACTAACTCTTGATTTCTATAACCTGGAATATGATCTAACATTTTAACATTTAAATGCTACTCACTCCATGCCCTGTGCTGATTGTTTGGCTATCATTATGATCTGGTCCATTCGAAACTTGGTATCCTTTACGTGTAAATGCTGATATAAACTAAGACCATCGCACCACTGAGTCACGATCTCCAGGTGAGGTTTAGATACACAGCCCATAAATAACAAAATATTTACATGTCTAGTTTTTCTGGAAGAGACAAATAAATTGTGATTAAAATATATTTTAAATTTATGACATGCCTATAGATAGGTTGCTAGGCATCAAAACATGTCCATAAGATAAGTCATGCAAGCAGTCCACAAAGATTGTCACACCTTCACGTAAAATAAAATAAACAAAATTATGGTGCGTCTATGACATAATCGATGGCAAAAACTTTCTACGTAATTATAAGAAATTGTTGGTAATCAATAGGCCTCATAGAAATGGAGACAATAGTTTTACTAAGTACAAACCTGAGAACTGCCACTTCATTTTTAAATGCCTGCATCTGTGCGGGTGTAGGATCTATGACATTCAATATTTTTACAGCAACAGGTCCATGCCAATGTCCCTTAAATACTGTTCCAAACGACCCTGACCCTATCCTTTCTCCCAAATCTATTTCTTCGTTCGAGATCTCCCAATCATCATTTGAATCTCTACGAGCACGCTGGAAAAATCACAAAAATAATCTAATTTCTGATTACTTTGGAAAAGAAATGGATTTATATGTAGAAACTAGGATTGAAAACGTCCAACGGTTCCTCGTGGTCCACACCAAGATTATAACAGAGAACATATCATTCCTGTATGCAGAAATAAAAAATTATTGAGTTTTTTGATATATAAATAATTATGTGATCTGAATCTTACTCTTTTTCCTGGTTCTGTTTCTACTGACTTAGCTCGGGGTCGGACATGTTTTGCTGTACTGGTTGGTGAATTCTGTGCAGACTTTGTTGGACTACCTCCCGGACTTGCAAAATTGAGGGGTAACTTCAATGTATTAGAGCCAGAAGCTAAAAATAAACAAAAATATAATTTATTTCATAAAATCTACTATATTTACTTACAGTATTAACATCTGCCTATATATATATATATTTACAAAGAGAAGTACTTGAACTTGCATTATTGAAATTATAAATCTAGAGAAAGTCATGCTATTTTCCTATCTTAAATATTCATTTGGATGTATTTAGTTATAGCTTTATGTATGTAATTTTATTTTTTGAAGTTCTTATCTCTCTCTCCATATTTCTATAACTATTTTAACATCAGTTTTTCATTAAAATTAACACAAAAGCTAGCAAACTACCATGCCTATTAAAAGTCAAAACCAAAAACACATTTTATAGCCATAATTCAGTATCAATCGGGTTATCTAACTGTTCTTTAGACCAAGTTTAACCAGAACTAGAAACTAAATCCAGACAAAGTTGCATATCAATAGTCTTATGATAATGGCGATGAATTTAAATAATCTTCAGAATGTTTTAAGATTCATTATACACACATGTCGTACACAAAATAAAAAATAGTTTAACCCATGTTTACAGTGATATATCACTCTCTTGATCATAATAAATTCACATTTTCTTTTCATTTATAGAACAGAAATTTCAAAGAAGTAAATTTCTTTATACAGCATACATAAAATTAGTTTTTTTGCAATCTATGGTAAACACATATTATGTTCAATTCATACTTGTTAGCTTCACATCAAAAAGTTCTAATTAACAATGGACAATAAATCCCACAGTACCCACATGCAATTTAAACTCAATGTGTATGAAATAAGCATTCACTGCATTATGTTATCATTATTGGTAAAAAGGGAAATCACATGAGCCAAGGGCAAATAACTCTATCACCCACAGTACCTTTAGGTGATTGAGGTTTAGAGGCACTACTATCACTAGCATGTCTCTTATCTTTATAAAGATAGCGATAATGAGGTGGTAGATCTGAAATAAGTGGCAATTCATAAATATTCATTTAAAAAATAATGTCTTTTGTGATGTAAGAATTCTTAATATTTAATCACTAATGAAAGACTTTTGAAAAAACATTTAAATATTTCCATTTAAGTTCAGACTTAATGTTAATTCAAAAATATTACTGTTTTGTGAAATTAGAATTCATAGTAATCAATCATTAGTCGTAGGCCTTTTGATACCATATAAATATTTTTTCTTGTAAGTTAAATATTATTGTTCAAAAAGACATTGTTAATGTGTGTGTGTTTTGTTATTACTATTAGTTATCAAATAATTGTCTAATAATAATCTATATAAAGTGATGTTAATATTCAAATATAGATTTTTAGTTGAATTTGTTTTTCTTATTCAACACATACCAACATTTTCAGAGCCTGTAACAAAAACCAATACTTAATAAAAAAATATCAACTTACTGTCCTTGCCTTGCAGATGTCGGAATCTTCTTGTGAACTCCTATAAAAATATAAAATGGATTGCTATAAAAACATACGTCCAATATTTATCTTTGGTTGTTGAGACATACTTCTGTCAGGACCTATAACAAAGATCTATAAAGAAAGGTCTATAAGTTTGTAGTAAAGACAAGTAAAGTGAAATTTTGACTGTAAAAAAACAAAACGAAATAGGATCCATGTTTTAATCAGATTGGTTTTCGGCAGAATAAGTCTTATAGAAAACATGCACTTGACATTAAAGATGTTTAGAGTTTGACATTGTTTGTTAGTAAGGATGTAACCGTTCAAAAATTATTGAACCGGTTAACTGGTCGTTGAATCATTCACAGCAATTCATTATTCAGGGCATCGTTAATGATATACATCATGAGTAAATCTCCAACTAAGTAACAAATGAATATCAATATCAAAGTTTTTTGTTCAATACATCTTTGACTCATTCTTACAATCTAATTTTTAGTTTGTCTAGGCTTTATTTCATAATTGGCATTTAAGAAAGGCAAATAGGTAAGTAATTTTAAAACTTATTCTCGATTTTAATCCTAGGAAAATTCCATGAAAACCTGAAGAATATAAACCTGTTGTGACATTTGACCATTTTCCACCATATTATGACAAACATTGGGAGCTGATGTGGATCTCTCTCGCTGACCTAGTTGTGGTGCCGGAGTACGACTGCGGTGTCTGTTTCTAGGAGACGTAGTTGAAGCTGCTTTACCAGCAGGCGAATTTTCTGTTAATATCCTGTGGATAAAACAGTTGATATTAGAATAGAATTAAATTATATTCAGAAAGTATTCATCTCATTCAAAAACCAACAAACCAATGTATTTTGTTTTTTCTTTCAAGTCTTATTTTGTTTAATGAAATCAAATGGTGTTTAACTTGGACTTGTTTTTTTGCATGTCCAAGCTAATAAAGACGGGGACCAATACAACCTGTTATGAGTGTAATTTTGTCAGCAGATATTTAACATAATGTCAATGGTTTTTAAACGAATGGACAATTTAGTTTTTTGGGATATCAGTGACAAGGAGCAGCCAAACTGGAAAATCCTAAGAATTTTCTCGACCAACACTAGGATCAAACCTACTTAGTGAGTGAGTCAGCACCATACTCATCGACCCATTGTGACTCTCCTAATGTTGCTACATAACTTACACACTACAATTTTTTCAAAAGAATTATGGAAGAAACTTGAAAGCTTAATCTCAGTAAACCGAACACATTTTTACAATAGAACTGATCATCATGAATATTGAGAAGAATTACGTGACAGCTGACTTACTGTTTCATTTGTTCTCTAGAATTATATCTTTGTTGTCGAAAAAACACTTCCAGATCTCCTTGACAGTTACGTGGTATTTTCTCTTCACACCGCTGATGGAATTTGAGGCCACAAGTCTGGCATCGAATTCCTTGAAACAATAAACTTCGGCACATATCACAGAAAGTTAATGCGAAAAATGTCTTTCGACCCTGCAACACAATGTTAACAAAATTATACAACATAATTCTATGTTTAGTCTACTCAGAATAACAGTTCCAAGCCCGTCTGAACATTTGCTGGGACAAAAATGCCCAACAAACTGGTTCAGCAATTTTCATTGCAACGATCAGTTAACAATGTAACTTGGGCAAGTATATAGACATGGTTAATTATGCACTTTTATGTAGCATGGGGTGTAGCATCTACACCAAGTCTGAACAGTCTAGCTCAAAGCATTGACACATCAAATTGTGTTATCAGCTGCTAAGTGTGAATAGAAAAAGCCCATCCTTGAACTCGGTCAAGACATTCACATACATAATGAAATGGGGTTTAACATCCTTCTGATACATAATGAACACATACACAAGTTTGAATAACTCAATTAAAAGTAAAGTTATTATTATTATTATGCTCCAAAAAGTGTGACAATTAACATGCCAAAAACTACTGTTCCTCAAACCGCGATATTATACTTATTTAAGGACTGTATGCTAGTTCAGGCAGTCCAAGTAGTAGTGCTTTCAGATGGTTTTGAAAATGAGCTACAAAAAAACACTTTTTGTTCATGGTACTAGGACAGTGAATGTATACACGTACACCTTCCAGGTACTTTGTTTATTCACTAAATCATATCATACCCTGCTCCTTAAAGATGGGTTCCCAGAAAAGTATTTATCGGGTGGTTATTTCCAATAAAAGTATGGCAATTTTGGTATATATGGAAAGTAGAGATATCCAATCTTACTAGAAAAATACTGGATTCCCCGAAAAACACTCATGGGGCGTATACAGGACAAAAATGTAAGGGTTCCCCTAATCGACAGCACAACGATTAGGAATTTCTGCATGTGTGATGTCAAAGGTCATACACGAACATTGAGCACTTGATGTACAAGTTGATAAACTTTATGAAGAGTTAGACGTATAACACTTTCTGAGATAAAAATGACCGAAAAGACGCGGGTAGTGGATAATCCGAGAATTTAATTAGGATTCGATATTTGTAATAAATAGTAAGCAATTAAAGACAACATCGTCTTATGTATGCAATGGATTCTCTTCTGACTTCCGAGAGAGGTAAGTCACGTGACCTTAACATGACCTGGTTTGATTGAATTTTTATAGCAGGGCATTCCTTGGCAATTACAATGTTTGAGAAGGATTTGAAGCATAATTATGACAAATTAATTAGTTTGAATATGTTTTTAGTCCATATATACCATTAAATCACCCAGTTTGTACACGGGGAATGTATCTTTAAGAATACAACATTTTGTCCAGCATTCACATATGTATGAAATTTAGGTGTATTTATATTTAACTTACACAATTATGTGCTAAAACTACAGCTCTAGACATAGATCTATTGAGTCCTTCTTCTCCCTCGATCAATTCAACAGATACCTCTTGGCCAGCTAGTTCAGCCATATCTGTATTCCATGTTAATGGTATTCTAGAAAAAAAATAGTCAATATTTCATAAAAACTTCTTCAGAATTTAACTTTAAAGGGATTAATTCATTTTTTTATAATTTGTGTTGCTGGATTAAAATGTCAAGGGGCACAAGAGCATCATGGATGAAATAACACCATCTCAAAAAATCTGATCTTCGGAGTACTTAATTGAATAACATGATATTGGCAATAAACAGGAGGACCCGGAGAAAACACATGAGGTTGGACATGCGACCATACTCTGTGTCAAGTACAACCGGGAAATCGGAACCATGTCAGTTGGCTCAATGACACACCGCGCACTCGCTAATCATTCGGACATGCACCCCCCACACCCCAATAAAGGAAAACCGACCAAATTTTGATAGTCTTACAATGTAAAAGTCCTTCAACTCTTCAACAGGGTTTACAAATTATTACCGGTGTGAAACATATCTAAGTACTATTCTTACCTGGTACCCTGTCGGAATACTTGACAATCTTTATATATTAATCCCCTACGTTTCATTGATTTAGCCAATCCATCTCTTAATGTTATACCGGGAGTTACTACAACCTAAAATAAAACAAAAAATAAATACACAAATATTTTCACATAAGCCCTATAAAATCTTAGCTTACTGGGTCAAATATATTGTGCTGAAACTTAAATCCAAATATCTGTTCTCGGTTACAATATCACAGATATTTGGATATTTTAGTGCTATCTGTAGCTTTTATCGTAACTATCTCAGTATCTGTGTTATTTGGAAAGGGGGGGGGGGGGGATGTTGGATGGCTGAATGGTTAGTACGTGCACGCTGTATCATAAAATCTGTCATTGAATCAACTGGCATGGTTTCGTTTTCCCGGTTGTACGTGACAAGGAGTAGGGTCGCCGTCCAACCTCGTGGGTTTTCTCTGGGTCCTCCGGTTTCCTCCCACAGCTAAAGACCCCTACGCGCAAGCGAATTATGGAAATAAAATTGGACCATATGTTAGTCCCGAAATGACCTAGTTTGTGTCGAGTGGACGTTAAACCCCATTTCTCTCTCTCTCTATTTGGAAACGACTACCATGACTGCTTTATAGTATGACGTTTAATAATATGCAGGCCACGAAATTTCACGTGAACGATACCAATCGACCGATTTCCTGGTTACGCAAATTGAAATATCGGTTACGTTAACAAATTTCGTTAACAGATTTATTCACATTTGATCCATTTTTATACAGGATAACTTGTGACACAGGTCTAAATTATTTGTGTTATAGCACAAACTCCATTCATTCATTCTTGTTATTTCATTTCTCCATTTTACCGGTACTTTGACAGATCACGTATTTTGACACCACGTAGGCTATTGACCAGTTGCAAGCAGGTTGATTTAAAAATGCCCCTCACCCCTAATTCTTTAAATGATTAGTTATGCCGAGAAATAATTGAAATCATACCTTTGGATTTTCAAACACAAAATGAGAAATGAGTTTGACTATTTAACAAAGAATTTACTACACGTTTTCCTTTCAGTTTTCACTATAGCCATGCTGTATTACCAATGACCCGTATGTATGTCGTCAACTTTGACCCCCTCCCCGGCATCGCTTGAGCGATAATGTAAATGATTTTACTGCCCTGTCTATTTTAATATTATTTCATGACATCAAACTATTCTGTTTCCTTTTGAGACTTTGTGTATAGAGTGCCAAAGTTTATAAATACTGTTTGTCAATCAGTCGCTACCTATGATTGAGGCTATCTCATGCTACGTGCTTGGATGAATGATTGCAAGTGACAAGTGTAATATGAAGTACCATGTAGTCTTCAGCGACCGCAATCATTTTTCTGGTTATGCCAAAATTTGAAATTTCGTGGCCTGAATATGTTCATATTCCAGCAAATCGGTCTAAAATAAAACATGAAGTTTTGCATCTTTCTACATAATAGGCAACAACTGTTTTATTACTTTCATATAATCGTAAGCAGCAAAGTGCTTAGACTAATATCAAATTAGAGCTGAAATCATTTGCACAAAGGTTCAACATATAACAATTTTACTAATTGAGAGACAGATATACTTACTGTTGTCACCATAGAGCTAGGTAAATGAGCTCGTATTGTACCACCAGGAGAACGGGAAGTGAGTTGAGGACTCTTCTGTCCTGTTGGTAAATTCTGTAGATTATTAGAACTTGTATTAGGAGTAAGTGGGGGGCCGGGAGAACGACATGGTTCTTCTGTCATAGGGAGTGGACTAGGAGGGGGAGAGGCTCGACCAATACTCATTTGTTCCAACAGCTTCTGTTCTCGTAACTGATATTCATGAATCTTATTTGCCAATTCTTCATATTCCTGAAAAAGAAATTACAAAAAATAAAAGCATATTTAAAGACGATACATGTAATTTTGGGCCAAAAATATTCAAATTAATGTATTCATCAAAAGTTTGTTTCAGTCAATTAAGATAGATTGCCAGGCAACAAAACATACGCCCACAACAGCTAAGTCATCTGACAGTCAATAAAGGTTGTCACATATTTTTTTCTTTTGTCAGTGTGTAAGGAGAACGTTTACAACACATAAAAATCTTATTACGAGTAATAACCCATTAAGTAATTATCACAAATCATTAGAATTTGTTTTGATTGTTTGTCTCATGACCTTGAACAATTTATATTAACTTTAGTCTGTAGAGCATTTTTCAAAGTGATCAAGGGCCATTACTTTGGCAGTTATTATCTAAAATTGTTGAAAATGACTAGGATCCTTCGTCTCATGACATTAAACACTGTGTATAAATTTAAAGTCAATCAGATATTAACTTTAGCCTCTAGAGCTTCTACAAGATTTTTCAAAGAGGTCAAGGGCCATAACTCTTGCAGTAATTATCTGAAATATTTGAAAATCAATAGGCTTCATCGTCTCATGATCTTAAACACTGTATAAATTTAATGTCAATCGGATATTAAGTTTATCCTCTAGAGCGTCCTCTAGCTTTTTCAAAGTGATCAAGAGCCATAACTCTGGCAGTAATTAGCGGGAATTGTTGAAAATCAATAGACTTCTACGTCTCATGACCTTAAACAATGTGTATGAATTTCAAATCCATAAGATTTTTCAAAGTGATTGAGGGCCATAAATTTGGCAGTAATTATTGGAAATTGGTGAAAATCAAAAGTTTTCTTCATCTCACGACCTTAAAACACTGTTTATAAATTTAAAGTGAATCTGATATTAACTTTAGTATAGTAACAATATACAACCACATTTCAATGTGGGCGAATAAAAATGGGGTTTAACATCCTACTTTTCTACACCAACTAGACTAATAAAGATGGGCATACATTATGAGTGAAATTTTGTCCAAACAACGGCACTACAGCCTATTCAGATTGTTATTTCGAATTCAGACTATCAAGGTTTCTTTTACATGCATGCAAATTTTTACATGGGACTTTGGTTCTTCTTCCCATCTGAATAACTAGATATGTTGTCCCTAGCCAGGCCCTCCATCCTACACCACTGTCAAGGTGGAACCACGTCCCTATGAACTTTCTCAGCCAACACCTGGATCGAACTCACGGCCTCCAGGTTAAAAAGCCAATGCAAGAAAAACACCCTGTGCACCGAGATTATATTTTCATCGTCCTTGACTTGATTAAAGGAAAAATCCATTTGCAGCTTGTATTTGTATTTACCATAAATATTGAAGCCAAAGTAAAGATTCCTGGATTATCCTGTTCTAACTTCTTTTTCCGCAATTTAATTTAATTGCATAATAAAGTATGTATGATTGTGCATGATCTTAAAACTCTATATTCTGGCATGCTGGGACTCAAACACTTTGAATCTTTGAATGACTTAACGACTAGTATCAAAATCGAAAAATAAGTTACAATGTCAGTAAGTATGCAGATAAGAAGGTGTGTAGAAACCCCTGTTAAAATATATATCTGCTGACAATAGTACACATCTAATCATATTATGGCGATACTGGTTATATAAACTTAAAGTGCACAAAAATGAAGCTTTAGGAAAACTATCACCTGAAATCAAGACAAATGTTTTTTCAACGTCTGTTACTTTTTATTTCTACATTGGTAAAGAATGTCTACTTGTTTACAAATATAGAATGTAATTGGTCAGTTTGCCAACTGTACAAATATATATATGCTAACACACACACTATTTGTTTATTCTGATGTGATAAGTATGTAGCATAACAAAGGCATAGTGATAGAGTCATATAATGAGAAAAGAAAAGATAAAAGAAATTGTTCTTAGTAGAATTCATTCCTGGAATTGTGTACATACTTTTGTGAAAGCAGATATATACCATACATTCAATTCTCAAGTATTATCTAGTTCCTTCCTTAGCTTGATAATCACAGAAACATTTTCACATGATCGGGTCTAAATTTAATATCTAAAGATTTAAGAAACATAAATACTTTTGCAAATGAATCTTAATAAAATCCAAAAATTGTCAATTAGAATAAAGAGAGATTAACTTTAAAGTTTAAACGTCCACTCAACACGAACTTGGTCATTTCAGGACTTATGTATGGTTCAATTTTATTTTTTAAGAAGAGCAATAACTGGAGCCTTTGTATGTGGTTGTATGTTTAAAACAACATATTAAATTATTACAGCGAACATGTGGCTAATTCTTGTGTCACTGTCTCGATGTAACATCAACAAGTTATACTGGTTTATGGTCCACTCAATACAAACTAGGTTATTTCGACATTATGTGGTTCAATTTTATTTCATTTATTCACTTGCGCGTAGGGGCCTTCACCTGTGCGAGGAAACTGGAGCACACCGCGAAAACCCACGAAGTTGGACAGGTGATCCTACTCCTTGTCAATTACAAGTGGGGAATCGAAACCAGACATCGTGACTCATTGAAAGAAACTATGATCTAACATGCAAGCGTTAAAACAATTTGCTCAAAGATTTCAAGTCAAAAGTGAGTCAGACCAAGATTCTCTCTGGTTGAGCAAGGGGACATGATTATCAAGAATACATCTACTCCATCTAGTATAGGCTTAGTAAACATGACAGACAATATAAGGGAAGGTGCGATGTATTATAGTGTATGCACACTATTTAAAAACCACAAATGACAGATGTTTAAACACAGAAAATCAAGTCACAGTTATGGTAGCTAGTCACAAGTGAATGTATATTTGTTTGAGAATAAAAATAATGTTTTTAAAATCATAATTACCATTAGATAGATAGGTGGTGGATGCTGATGTTTACCAAATTCTGCATTCATTTCCTCCAATTTTAATCTTGTAACTTTAATAACTGTGCGTATATTTTCAATCTGCAAACAACAATAACCATTGTTAAACATACATTATGCAAGAGTTAAACTAAAAAGGCCTATTGCAGGACTTTCTTTAGGCCTGCAATGTTATCTAAATTATTAATTAGACATTAATTAACTTTTCCAGGCCACAATCAACTCTCGATGTCTGCGATATTTACGGGATTACCATCCGATCTGCTGCTCAAATTTCATTCATGATTAAATCAGGAAAAGGATAATCAAGACTATGTTTTTTATCGTACCGACTTTAGTAATGATGATCGAGACTAGGCCGGAAATTCAATCGCTAAATTCTCGGTTCAAAGTGGATCAATTTGACTGAAATTTACATTATCTAGTTTTTAACTACATGTATTATAGCGAGAACTGTCAGCTCTGTATCTAATCTCCCATAATGTATCTTTAAGTTAAAATGCTTAACATGTACACATATCCTTGCAGTATACTGTAGCTCGAAAAAAGTTTGTAATTCCCATACACATAACAGTAAGCACAGAATTAAAATAAATAAAATTAATTTATTTCCTTATTACTGTACTTCAACCAAAAAAGTTTTGAGTACTCCTGATTCTGAATATTCCAAACTACGACATCAATCAGCGGTCCTGTCACATGATTAGCTAACAAATAACATTGGATAATCCGAATGACCAGCCTTCAATTAGTGGGTGTTAACCGACAAGCAGTCACCAATCAATTATCTGTGAACATAAAACATGTGTCGGTCTTTGTTGATTACCTTGATAATTTTATAATCTCTTGGTATATCATTTGAGTTTCTCACGTCAAATACAACGACATATATATAAGTTGCCGAGATGAAGAACCACTATCATTATAATAATACTGTATTCATAATGTGTGATCGTCAAGCAGCAAATTATAGCAGATTTTTAAAAGTTCCACGACCTACACAGAAGGAATTAGCCGTTAAGTATTCAAGTGGCCGTACTACAGTATTCTACATTTTAAAGTGAAAAGATGAATTCAGAGTGGTTTAAAGGTGTGGACAAACACAATCTGTCAGTCAATTGGTCTGCCAATCGTAAGGCTTGAATGACATGTGCTATTTAGTCAACTTTAGATAATTATAATATTCAAAGTAAATTGTTATGTACATGTTATGTTATTGTGTCTTGTTATGCAATTGTTTAATATAATGTAATAAAATTTTGAATGTACAGAAAGCGTTATCATATTTTAAGTTCTGTGTATTCGACGGTGCATTATAATAACACTTCCGGTATTCGAAGATACAATAATAATTTCGGTATTCCGACTTGCTGTCTAATCCTGTACGATGGCGGAATTGACATATTATTACATATTAATTGCATATGGGTAATCAGCTTTTTATCAAGAAAACTGTTTCTAGATTATCACTTTCTAATTAGCTCTTTCCACCATTTCTTGTTCAATCATCTATTTCAAAAACAATAAAAGCATAAAGCAATTGCAGACACACTAGTCTAGCGATAATAATAAGGCACTAAAATTAAAGAACAAAACTTATTTTAGTTAATGCTACATACACATAAAAATAAAGTTTCACAGATGATATTACAAAGCATTTTACGCAACTTGGCTTCAAAACAATGTTTCATCCACCTTCACTTTTAGAATGGGTATAGAAGGTAAAATTTTGAATGGCATTCTACTACTGTAAATAAGACCTAAATGTACCTTTCCCACATTTATCCATAAAGGGACAAAAGTTACTAGGTTACTCAATCATGCCTCTCTGGGTTATATCATTACAACTAAAGCCACTAAATAAAATTAAACTTTTTGAATAGTGGTACATAATATGTAGTAGTAGTAGTACACAGTTTAAATAAACTTACAAATTCAAAGAAAGATTTTAAGCTCATATATATATATGTTACTGATTGTCTAGCAAATATCTCTATAGATTTAATTTTGGGCTAATAATGTCCACCAATTTTGATCTTGTGTGATATTATTCTTGTAATCAAACCGAATGCTGAAATTTAAATAAAAACTGAATGCCGAAATTCAAATGCATACCGGTAGTGACTTTAAGCCACACATTACACGTTCATCTTTTGCATGACCAGCACATACTCAAAATTAAGAAAATAAGAACTACTGTCAGACATAAACCAAACTAAATTTAAAAAATCAGAAATTTGACTGATCTGTAAAACATTTTGTAAACTTATTTGATAAATTTGAAGTAGGCCTACATATATGCATGAATACAACTCCTTTTTATTTTCAAATGCTATCACATCAGTCTCATATCAATTTGCAAACATTTGATTCAAAAGCCCTATCCACTTAAGCAATAATGCCACAGCAACTTGTTAAGAAATAGGAAAACTGTCTTTTATTGATAAAATTAATATTATGGTAGAAATGCTATCTCGGTTGCAAAAAAGGAATAAGCTAATTGTAGAAATGCTTTACTTAACACTTTGGTATGTGACATATTTTCTTTAAAATTGGTGTTCAAAACACATCACCTTTAAGGCTTTGGTAAATCAAACTGCTTGTACATTCGTACATACAATATAAGGTTGCATTTTGTAAGGATTTTGAAACAAGTGGGTTTGTACTATACATGTAAACAGCCCAAAAATAGAAATATGTTTGATTGCAATATACTGGCATGGTAGAGTAAAAATCAAAAATAAAATAAATAAATTATAAGCTTAGTGGTAAGCTCAGATGGACAGCGCTACACACTAAATTAGACTAAACAAAACTGACAAGACAAACCTGCGGAGAAGACAAACTACATAGACATTTGTCCTTGAAAGCGATAAGAGAATACTTGTCGAAACGTTGTGCTATATGTCTATAAACCAGTGATTGTTTTCCATATAAATTGTGTTGTGTTTTTTAATGTGCTCAATCGCTAAATTCCACTCAAGGATGACATTGATATTGCAAGAAATAAACAACAAACATCAAATTATCATTTTAATTTGATTGTACTGGATGTTCTTCTACACGTATATTATTGTTAAGAAAAAGGTTTATTATTATTATTGTTGTTAAGAAAACAGTTTACATTTAAAATCATTATTATAAAAAGGGACCTCAAGATCGGGATAAAATACAGTGGTATACAAGTTGAAGTAGAATGACACTATCAGGGCCAAAGAGGCTGGAGGGAGGAAATCACACAAATCTATGTTAAAGAAAGTATTATCATAAACAATAACAATGATTAATGGTTTCTTTGAGGTACTGAGTCATTTGCGTGTAAACAAAGGTGGCAGTGACCCCAAAAATGGTATCAGGATCAGGGAGTCTGTAAAACCCATTAAATCATCTATCACATATCATGCTATATAATTAATATATCAACATTCCTTAAACAATACATAATACACCAAGTGTGTCCAGCATGACATCGTTTGCATCATTATCAACCAGACGATTTTTTTTAGGGAAGATTCGGTGCAAATTACACGGTCTGTCTGACTTTTTTTTTTCTTTTTTTTTTTACAGAAGAATGAGTGACACTGACAGTATTTACAGGTACACTTTTGGTGATTGTGCATTCCGCTTTCGCATATCATTTGCTGTATGCAAATAAAGTAAAACCCTAAAAACCTCACCTCATCTTGAAGGCTTGTTGAGACAAACGGGTCTTCTTCACGATGGCCTATACTAAAATTTGCAATATCCCCGTTCATTGTGGGTCTATCGACTACCGCCATATTACCTACTTTGCGCAAGACGGTCACGTGACCATTGAATTATCACTTTTTCTCGCGTTATTTTAGTGAAGCAATCGCAACATCTTCGTATTTTTTAGAAATTGTTGTTGAGGATATTTATCTCGCTGTTGTGATTGAGGATGCGCAAAACCTGTCCACTATCCCGAATAATTTTCATCCAAGTTAGATTGGGTCGAAATATAAGAGAGAGAGAGAGAGAGGGGGGGGGGGGGGTAACACCGACTCGACACAACCTAGATCATTTTGGGACTAAGATATGGTTTAAGATAGTATAGATAGTACTTAATTGGTACTTGTTAATCGAGACTTAACCTAATCGATTCACCAGTTCAAATCCATTTAAATCTCAACCATCATGCCTACATCCAATGTGAATTAGGCATGAAATTTTTTTACAACCGTATATGAAGCCACAATAAACGAAATTCAACTGTTAAAATATTTAGGCCTAATTAATTCTCTTGGAAAAGAATTATCGGTCATTTTGATTATTTTTTTAAGCTGAAACGAAACATCAAATAATCACCGCTTGGATCAATTATAAGGACTTAAAGGAGTAAATTATAATGACTTGAGATTTTAAGATTTTTTCCCGTCACTCCCATAAATCTGGTCTGCCCTCTGTTTGCCCCCGCCCCCCAGGCCTGTAGCCAGCTTGCTAGCTTCGGAGGGTCAGTGAAGTTTTTAAGGGGGGGGGGGGGCACAGCCAGTAGGCATTTTAGAGCGATGGTCGGCAATTTTTTTTTCGGGGGGGGGGGGGACATTTTTTCGGCATTGCCTCCCCCCCCCCCTTTTTCCCCCCTCTGACTACGGGCCTGGCCCCCCTCCCCCAATAATTTAGAAAAAAAAAAGTATTTTTGATCTTTCGGTAATCAGTAAGTTCTACGGTGATTAAATCCCACATTCCCATTCAGTCATACACTTGTAGAGCCCGATAGTGATTTCTTAGTGAACCCATCCTGCTGCAAACCTATACAAACAATAACACGTATTTAAACCACGAGTGGTTTGTACGATCCTCAAAGTTTTTGGGTATGCCTTCAACGTGGCAAGAATTCATCCACTTTGATCCACCACTCCGTTCGTTTGACACACCCCTCTCTGTTCGGATCCCTCTCTCGACAATTGGTGCCTGAATACTGTAAGACTGCATCTCCGGCTGTTTATTTTTCAAAATTTTCTGGGGGAGGTCCCCCATACCCTGCCTAAGGGCTCGCTACTTTGGCGCTCATGATGGGGCTTCGTCGAGGTTGGCAAGTCTCTTCGTTTGACAAGTTACACTAAGATTGGATAAACTATGTGGTATGGCGACAGGCGGTATCTGGTCAGATCTGTTTATCTCGACGATCAGTGCCTGAAATACTGCCAAACTGCATTTCCCCATACCCTGCCTAAGGGCTCGCTACTTTGGCGCTCATGATGGGGCTTCGTCGAGGTTGGCAAGTCTCTTCGTTTGACAAGTTACACTAAGATTGGATAAACTATGTGGTATGGCGACAGGCGGTATCTGGTCAGATCTGTTTATCTCGACGATCAGTGCCTGAAATACTGCCAAATTGCATTTCCGACAGTCTGTTTTTCAAAAATTTCTGGGGCAGACATCCAATACCCCTAGTTGAAACTCGCGCCTTTGCCCTCTGAACCTTGGACTTTGCCCCTCCAACCACCGAAAATAAGAATTTCCAATAATAATGATTGCTTGGTTTTGAAAGAGCAAAGATGGTGTGCATATTGGTATTTTGGCGGGTAATCGTAATCTCAAATCCGATGGACAAAACTCATTTTCCCGTCGACCTTGTTTGGGAGTCATGTTAGATTTTTTTCTCAATTGTTTCTTATTGAATTCACTAATTCCATTTCTGGCAACTGGACCGTTGTGAGTCTTTAATGCCGCAGAAAGAATTCAGTTACGACCTAATAAGAAATTATATATAAGTTCGCGAAGTATATACCCCCACCCCAAAAATTATTTGAGTTTGTGTGTTGTTTTCATGATCCTATATTATTATTGGCCTATATGAGGCCTACAATGCCCCGATTCTGAGCGAAATACTAATAACTTGAATATCCCAGAAGGTATTAAGTTTAGACTATAAGTCCGCTACAAAAATTAAAGATAAGTCCCCAAAGTATCCAAAACAAATAACCAAACAACTGAATCTAGGTCAGTCAAGCACGTAGGCTACTTTTTTTTTTAGTTTACATGAGCATTATATTTTATTAGAGAGGAATAAGAATTTTGTTTAGGGTAACCGTAAATACGGGTGTGTTTTTTTTTTTTTTTTTTTTTTTAATTTGGCAGGTTTACCACGTGCTTCAGTTGCATTCCGAAATATATCAATACTTTTAAAACTCAAAGTGCAACACTCCACTAGTCCTAGAAATGGTTCTACTACTGATGTCTCCCGTCTTGCTCCATCCACAGTAGTGGACCGTCCTAAGGCCTTCCTTTGAGCAAGTTTAGTAGTGATTTGACTACAAAAAGTTACTGGCCTATTAACTCCCTTAATTTCCAATTACACTGACCCCAAACTGTAGGCTACTGGGCCCTTATTCACGAAAACTTAAACTAAGATACAATCGAAATTTTAAGATATACTGCAATTCGATTGGCTGACCAATATGCAAATTGGATATTTGTAAATTGATTTTACTGGTCAGCCAATCGAATTGCAGTATTTCTTAAAATTTCGATTGTATCTTAGTTTAAGTTTTCGTGAATAAGGGCCCTGTACATAACTTAACATATAAACCAATTCCTATTGAGATAAAGATGAAACCTTAGGCTACCGTATAATTATATGATTTGATTAAACTCAACTGCTATGCGAAATTTCTGTGCAATTTAAAATGGACACGTGGTGTCACTGCCACTCGAAAATGCAGAAAAACTGTTCGGTAACATAAGATTATGATTTCAGTGTTCCACTCTTCACTATTTATAACATAATTACTTATTTCCATGCAAATTGTGATAATATGTGTTGAAAATAAAATTTTGCAATTGAACCTAATTTTACTTGCTCAAAGATTCGAATAGTGTATCGGATCAATTGCAGCCGTGGATAAGAATTATCACGGCTACAAATTGCAGCTACACTAGTCCCACTCTCTTATTTCAATACATATAACCAATGTTTTTACGCTTACTATTATAATACACAAGGTTTCCAAACTTTTATATATGAAAAGTTAAAGATAACTAGTCTTAGGTATTAAATACACAAAAATATAAAAGTTCCTTTTCAAAAACTTTTATATTTTTGTGTGTATATATATATATATATATATATATATATACACACACACACCCACACCCACAGGGTATTCCCCGGTACCTCAAACTGCTTTATAATACACATGTAGGCTTAATACCCCCTGCGTAGCTCAGATATAGTCATTCGAGTGGAAGAAAAGACCGGGGTCCCGTGTACACACAAAGACTAATCAAACCTTTCCAATTTTATTAAATGAAAACAGAATTACTTCTTAAAATGTCGGTCAACTGGCTTAGTGTCTGTTCTCAAGCGGAGCTAATTGTAACAGCATGAGTTTAGTGTGTTTCAATGTGGTCCAACCAACAAATCAATCATTTTAGTCCACGGAGCGCCTGTGTTCACGGGGTATGGGAAAAATTTGAAATTTTTACCACCGCAGATGCGTTTTTCTGCTATTCTAGCCCGTGAGTCAAGCAACCAAAATCCCACTCTATGCCGACCCGAATTCCAATCATCTAATCAGACTGTTGGAGCCGCATTCGCAAGTAATAATCAATGCCCGAAAACTGTCTCACGAAGCAGGGTGACTCCAGACAAAATGTTTTAATCCATAGTCAATTCAGTACAAATTCGGTGTTTTATTAAATTTCAGGCACAATTTAGCCAACTAGATGATTTTTCCAAGCTGAGTGGCTCGATCCAGACAAAATATTTTAATCTATAGTCATTCAGTACGGATTCGATTTATTCAATAAACAGAATTTTAGTGTTTATTAGACTTTAATTTGCGAACTAGATTATAAAATTATTAACAACCTCGTACGTGCCATCATATCTCTCTGACCTATTAGAACTGTCCTCTACCCCTATCAACAAAGATAAACGAAAGGAAACCAGATGCAGAACCGAAATTTTCTTTGAGTCCTTCATCCCTTCCAGTATACGAGAATGGAACAAATTTAACGTTGGAATTAGAAACTCTCGATCCCTTGCTATCTTTGGAAATTCACTAAATAAATTAGATAACATCGTGCCATCACATTACTATACAGGGATACGAAAATTACAAATAATCCACTGTAAACTAAGATTATGCTGCTCGAACCTACAAGGCCATAAATTCCTCAGACACGTCGTCGATGATAGCCCTGCTTGCCTATGTGGTCACAAATTCGAAGATACCGAACACTATTTACTCGTATGTCACTTATATTCAGATGCAAGAAAACGGACAATCCATAACCTTCAACGTAATCATAAAACAATCAGTTGTCTGTTGTATGGGTCAACAAAACTTAGTCCAGAGATAAACACACTTATTTTCGAAGAAGTCCAACAATTTATTTTCTTATCAAAAAGATTTAAATCTCCATAAACAACTCTTAAGTCATTCCAAACCCTGCACTCTGTATAATCATCTAAGTCCATGATGTATCATATATGTTCTATATTTATGTAATTATGTATGTATGTATGTAAATATTTATAATGTGTACATGTATCTAAATCAGAGAGAGGGGTTACACATAGGCATATTTTTAAAAAAAAAAAAAAAAAATTTTCCCACAATTACTTGTCTACCCGAAACGTCAGGCTGCCCAAAAGTAATAAAGAATGTACTAGAATTATCATTAAAATTTAAAAGTGGAAAACGTCAATGTGAACCGAAAAACATGTCCGACTAAATAGCTGAGAAACAAACTGCTCCGTATTGTCAATATTATTCATAAGCTCAGACACTGTCGTATATGTTTTTAAATGACGCAGCCCCCCCCCCCCCCGACACAGCCTGACTTCAACCTAATAATATTGCCACACATAGAAATTAAACCTTTTTTTTTAAAAAAACCCAATAGTATATTAGAAACAATATTTATTAATTTAACCCATTTGATAAAATAAATAGTTAACAAAAATAAAATATAATAGAATATAAAAATATACATGTACTTATAAACTATTCCGAGGCTTTTTGTCTTGAATACTGATATCTTATACAAACATTTCATATCAAAGCCATTAGCCACCAGGACATTAAAAAAAAAATCTTTAGATAATTTCTTTTATTTGGCATCATAACTATAAGCTATTAACTATCAGGATTTTAGATTAATATACTCTTCAAAAAAAGTAGGGGATACCGGGATATTCAGAAACAATACAAAACATTGGAAATGCACTGCTGTTTTTATTAGAGGTAACCAGTGTATGTTAATAACAGGCCAATTACCTACACATGAACATAAACAGTTCATATGGGCGGCTTATCTGACGGCCCCATTTCACTCGCAAAGAGATACACCATTAAATGTGAAAATGGACGTTTTTGATTTTTGTCTTAATAATGAGTAATTGCTCCACCAATCCTAAGACATTCAGCAATTCATCGTGGCATGCTACTAATCAACCGTCTAATCACGATTTGGGGCAATCTGACCCACTCCTCTTGCAGTGCCACGGTCAATTCTTGCAATGTTGTTGGTTGACGTTGACATCGACGAACACGCCTCCCGATCAAATTAAACGCAACACACTAAAGCAATGATACGCTAAACAGTAAATCTTATGCAAGAACCGATAGGAAAGCAAATATGGATAGATAAACCAGCATGCGGCAGTTTTCATCAACCCTTCCTTGAAGTGTCAAATTTGACAACAAACCCCTCCCACGTGTATGGTGCTATTGCATGTCGCATGTGCAGCTCAGTGGTTGACTCTGTCATACATAAGAATTAGTGCTCCATGATAATCTATTACGTACCAGGATTAAATTATTAGGTAGACAGACTCATTCCTAACTTACTTCTTACTTACTCATGGTAGAAATTTTGGCATCCTCTTTGCACAATACTAGATCTTTGTACCCACAATTCTAACCCTAACCCTTCAGAATAGTTTTAACCACAATCCACATATAATTTGTAAACCTAACCCGAACCCTAACCCTAGAGAAGTATATTTTCCAGATTGTACAAAGTTCTAGTGATGAGTTAGTTGTATTTTACGTCCGCTTCCACCGAGGTGATATCGCAGACAAGAAAGATCTAGTATCGTGAATCCTCTTTTGTAAGCGTCAATCTCATAGTGCATTAAAGGGGAGCTACTCTCATAGGTCAAAGTTTGGAGCAGATCTCACAAAGTAACTGATGTAAGGTGGGGTAAATCACCTTTTCCTGCATTTGACTACAACTATGTTACTCTACGCTAACCCTGCAGTAACCAACAAACACCTTTTCAAGGTACAGTGTACACGTCTCCTTTTTCAAAAATCTTGTACCCGTATATATAAAATTTAATATGGCACACCCCAGGAATATTAAAAGATAAAATTACACCCACATATATCTAAAACTCTTAAAACACCCATAAAAAAAAAAAAAAAACACAACAAAAAATCACTATAGGTTACCAGTCATGGTAACATATAGCCAACCAACAGCTTCTTTGTCTGGGCTTTAATAATAAAACCTTGCTTCTGATATTTTGAGAAATTGGTTAACAACGGCTACATTAAGTTAATACCCATTTATCAACAATCACTACTCTGGAAGTACTTTTTTGAAACTCTCAAAATCAACAGTAATCATCTTTAGTCCAGTAATAACTATTAAAATCTACCAAGTATATGCATAATTCAAGTATATGCGTAATTCAAGTTTATACACAATAGCATAATTCATGGACAACAACTCTGGAACCATATTTTCAAAAATGCTAATGATATGGACATTCTTTACCCCAATACCAAAATCAATTAAGAACTATCACATAAATCACAGGCATTAACCAAGGAACCACTTTGGGGGAAAACATCATTATCCCGATATGGAATTTCGAAAATGCACAAAATCTATAGGGAACATCTATACCTCAATACCCACTATCCCTGAACATTTGATGAAATTCAGTGAAGGCTAGGAGCAGCAATGTAAATTGTGTTGAAGATTGATGAAAAACAGAACTCTGTACTGTGAAAATGAGTTTGGTAATGTACACTATTAACAGTCAGTGACTGACCACCACAACACAGGTGTTAATTTTACAAAAAGGCACAAAATAGGGACCATCTTCACCACAATACTAACGATTTTACAAAAATCAGTGAGGAGTGAGTACACTTAAGAAGTGTAGACCAAAAGGGGTGATGACAATAATAAATACATTAACTATTTTAAAACTACTGGAGAGATCGAATATGTTTTTTCATAGCTTCTACAGCTATATCTATTTCATCTTTCGTCATTATGTTGGTGGCACATAATGCCAATAATAGTTCTTCTTTGGAATTTCCTGCAAATTGGTTGCTCAAGAAAGCTGGAAATCCTCGTAGATTATCACCCATAGTAAACAGCGGGGGTCGTATAATTCCAAAAGTCTGAAAAACAAAACAAAAAATGAAGAAAGATATGACATAAAAAAGTATATAAAGAGGTATCAAATGAGTGAATGAATGAAATGGGGTTTAACGTCCGACTGGGCTATTGAAGACGGCATACGCCATACAGTGTGCTATGAAGGAAATTTTGCCTGGAAAGCGGCACTACAGCCTACTCTTATATTGAATTCCAACTACAAAGGGATCTTTTACGTGGATGCTAATGTGTACACAGGACCTCTGTTTTTTATCCCATCTAAACTACTATAAGCTGTCCCTTGCCAGGCCCTTGGTCTTGCACCACTGACGAGGAGGAATCACACCAGAAAATTCTGATGAACGCAGGGATCTAACATGGGACCTCCAGCCACCTTGACTCCCCAGGTATCAAATACAATAAACAATACATAATTTCCTGATTGTTCTTTTACCATAATCAGTTTGATAATGTCTTTCATTTTTCCAGAATAAAGGTTTCTTAAATTTATCCATGAGGAGAGACGCCGCAAGATCTAATGCCATTAGACAATATTAGAATCATGACAGCAGTTGAATAAAATTGGTCACAGAGCACCTAATTAACATAGTGAGTCCCAAACTGATCAGCAGTGAATTCACTTGGCTGCTATAATCACAGAAAGGGATGACATCAGGGCAAGTTAAATAGCTCTCAATATTTTTATTATTTAAACAATATTTTATTCACGGGATACCGAAACAAGTCAATGACTTATATAAATTGGCTTCCCAAAAGCAAGATACATAAATGATATAAAAAATATTATTATCAATACAATGGAGTATTAAATTACATATATAATAAAATTAGAGAAAGAATATAATCAAGTGTTAGCTAGCATCAGGACCAAGAAAGGGTTAATACTCTGAGTTTAAATTCATTACGGTACTTTTAAATTATGCACCCCCTATCGTGCCCTATGATGTGACGTCACACGTATGCATGTGACATTAAAGGTCAGTCATCTTCTAAAGTTAAAAGAAGACTGTCACATTTCCTTCTGTGGAACAGATTGAGTGAGTTCCAGATAAGTTTTAGTGAATCAAATAGGTCAATTCTTAGAAACCTGTATCCTAGTCGTGTACAAGTTGTACAGTACAACTACCAGAAGTTCCATGCTATGCCTGAATAGCTATGTCTACCTACATACTTGCTTAGGTTAATGTAAGAGAGCGTGGCTATTACAAAAATAACCTGTATAATTCAACAGTGGGACTTCTTAAATGAGTTACATAATTTCTTTAAGCAAATTTAAACTTAGCAAACTGATAATATTATTTGTGAAAATAAAGGATTGCCGAAATATAGACAAGAAATAATAACTACCTCAATACCATATTCTTTCGCTTCTAGATTTCGTCTTTCAATAGTATGGAATTCTGTCAGATCTACTTTTTTAGTATAGAAATGCAAAACCAGATTCTTTTCTTCATGAAGATATGTTACCAAATGATCTTTATCATTAAAATTATGTTTCGAAGTATCAATATTAATTTCCTCAATCATCTCTCTATTCAGTGCAGCAGCAGGATTTTCCCCTGCATCAACAAGACCTCCTGGAAATCCTAACACACCATCAAATCGCATCTGCATCTTTAGAAGATCATGAAAAAGAAAGTAAAAAAATAAGTAAAACCTTCATCAATCGTTTATCAGGTAAGTGAAATAAAAGAATTTCTTAGCGATTTGAAGTCAAACAACATTAAATCGAAAATTCATTGTTAATACAGATCGGCAATGGTCACAGAAGAAAGTGTTCCTTTTCACACATTTGGATTTTGACCAATGACATGAGAAGGAGGCCATAAAAAAAAGTATATTCTGATTTACCAAAATTGCTGCCCTGGATTCATACAAATCCCAAACCTTTGTACTGTCTAAGGCATAAATCATTCCATGTGCTGCATGGGTACATGTTGAATATTTTGTTGTGCTGTCACCATACGATACTTTCTTGTAATCTGATTCTTTATCACCCAGTTGACCAAATTTTTCAAATGGCTCAAGCCATCCCCATGTTGGCTTTTCCATTTCTGTAATAAAACATCTTCAAGTTAAACATACATTATGCAAGAGCTAAATCTGCCTTTTGCAGGTCTTTCATAAGGCCTGAAGTGTTATATAAACTATTAATTAGACATTTAATAACATGACAAGACCATACTATATGTCCGATTTACATTCGATTTGAATCCGATCTGCTGTTCCAGACCCATTGATGATGAACCACAAAAATGGATAATCAAGACTTTCTTTATTGTCATTACAGTGGTAACAATGACAATCGAGGCTACTGTGTTTTTAAAATGATGTTTTCTCGGCTTCAATGAAGTAATTTGACTGAAATTTTCAGCATATTCCCTTTACATTATCTACTTTTTAACTATTATAGTTTGAAATACAAACTTGTGGTAATGTAGCATTAAACATTTTCACCAATTAGTTATATATATGGGCCGTAGTTGTTACTACCGATACTGATAAATTTTATAGGTCATTCCGAGGCTGCAACAAATCAATTTATTACTAAAAGCAGTGGATGCATGAACCCCTAAAACAATGCAGGTCAGCGTGAATCTCAGTGATACTGTAGGAGCAAGAAGGAATTTAGCAAATCCTTTGAAAATAATCTCCTGGAACTTTAAGCCTATGCTATATAGGGGTCATTATATACTTTCGCGTTCCGGCCCAGTGACAAATCTTCATGGTCTTGCGGCATATGATTTTGACTCATGTTGAGCGATTTAAATTCATCAATATCTGTTTCTGGTCCAGAAAACGCAGTCTTACTCTTAGGCTACTCTTAGTGGGAAATGGCACAGGATTTAATAAATTGAAATGAAAATCTATTGAAAATAAATGAAATCCATACAGGTTGACACAACAGGTTTATTTAGGCAAATAAACAAATTCAAGGTTTTCAAATTCACCCAAATGTTTATCTACCCTTTGAAGGCTGTGCAACTATTATTATATCAGTGGGGTCTGCCCTCAGGCTCAGAATCCCAACACCAGTCACCCCTCTATCGCCTCGCCCATTCCCCCCACCTAGCCCGCCCCTCTCCCTTCCTTGCTGTAAGCTATTTTACTGCCTGTTGCCCTAACTATTGTTTTCGGCAATAAGAATACAATCCAAAGATCTCTAGGCATACCCATTTGGGCTTCTTTGATTAGAAAATAAATTTCATAACTTTGCGGATTTTCTCCCCGATGTTACAGCTGGGCAGGGGAGCAGTTATTGAATAATGAATAATGTAATAAAAATCCAACACTAATTTAATTCTGATTCTGATTCTAATTCTCGAAATTACACCACCGAGAAAAAGGAATTTATTATAAATGTAACTCATAATTACTATCTGAAATTGATATTAAGGTTTCTATTTTTAAATGTTTATCATGAAATAATGAATACTCAACTCTTCAATCTAAAAAGATACATAAATTCAGTAATGGTGGAGAAAATGAGACTTCTCAATATTTACTCCGTGTTTTTGGTGATTACCTTTCTATCGCGTAGTTGTATTTCATCTCAATGTGAGAAAAATGACGAAGAAAGCTGTGATGCAAGCAAGGAGAAGAGTTGTGGTTGCAGTATTAGTCGTGGGGATGTAAAAAATGATGACGCGAGCGATTCTCCTGTGGCTGGATCAGCAGCAGACGACAGAAGCAAAAACTATCGCCCCGAGACAAATGTAAAAAATCCATATGTTCGTACAAATGAGATGGTTAAAATCCCAGGTGGAACATTTACTATGGGGTCAGATAAACAGATATTTGAAGCTGATGGTGAAGGGCCTGGGAGAAAAGCGAAAGTTAATACATTTTATATGGACAAATATGAAGTCAGTAACTCAGAATTTGAACTATTTGTTAATCAGACTGGATATATTACAGAGGTTATCAATTAATATCTTTTAAAATAATCATTTGTTTTATATCATTATCAAGTAGTGATTGTATTGAACTCAGCTTAGCTCAGGTTGTTTCATTCCCAAACTGTTTCACCTTGCATGGGCTGTTTTAGCTACGAGAATGTAACTAAAAACGCTGAGATATACTGATGTGCTTGTTTTTAGCTACGATTGGATGCCATTAGTTCCAAGTGGCAAACTCAATTTCTTTATTAATGTATGTACCATCTTAAAAATAAGTTAATTTTATACTATTAAGTATTAGTACTTATTATACGCAGTCTTATCTACTGAAATAACATTCATTTATCATGTACATGTACATGTAAAGTAAATCAAGCGTTGTTTTTATCAAAATTGATTCGAACGTTCATAATTATGCCGTATTACTACTGCGCAACTCTGATCAGATGGGTACTTTGATTGGCTATTGCGCACGAGGCCCGCCTTCATGTGTTACAGACATAAATTTAAAATGTCGGAAAAAGCAATCTACTGTCGTTTTGGTTTAAAAAGAGGGGATTTGTACCCGTTTCAGGTAGGATTATATGCTTAATTGTAGTTGGGTGTGGCAGAAATATTATAAATAACAATAACCAATCGTTGTTTTGATTAAAAATATTGTCAATTTTGTTTACAAATGCCGGGTGCGAATCGCTCCCGCATGTGCTACATTGAAGGTAATAGCATCATCTCTTATCTCGAAACACGGAGGGTTGAGAGGTAAGGTTTGTTATCTAGTCTGTTTCATCTCATGTTTTCTTTTAGTTAACAAGAGTAGATAAACACATAATTTTATTTTTGTCATGAACTTTTGGGCAAGGTATCACATGTTATGATTGTTACTGAAATAAAGTTAAATTTACTCACATATTACAATAATCATTCAAGTATTCCAAGTTTGGATCAAAGAAATTAATTTGTTACCTTATCTGGCTTCTTACTTACCGGTATAAGTAATTATACAACTTAACTCTCACTTGGGTACATTATAATTAAATGGTTTGTTTATTAATGTATATATATATATATGTAACTCTGTTAATTAAATGTTAAAAGATGAAACAGCCCAATTGAAAATTAGGCTGTAACAGCCTGTGGTGAAACGGTTTTGGAATGAAATTACCCGCACCCAGCTTAGCTGAATTGTACGGATTGACATAAAGGGGCAATGCTACTTTCAACCTAAAAATTAAATCTCAAATTTCATATCACAAGAGCTTATCTAATGTTAACCATAACCTCCCCCCCCACCCTCCCTGTCACCACAAATATAAGCACTGTCCCTTATATTGGGAACCCCCGTGCATTACGTTCCATTGGCTTTGGGTTCTTTTTACTGGTGCATGTTGTGAGAAACCCCACTAGTGTGCAATGTACCTATATGCTATTCACTTTGTGGCTTTATTCTTCTGACCTTTTTGTCATCTGAAATACTTGATCGATCATGATTGTTAAGACAGGTTATCAGTGCTGGAGATAATACATGTAGGCCTACTTGTTAAGTTGGTGGTAGATAAGATATTAATCTTGAGCCTTGCCATATATCTTAATCATTATGAATTGAATGATATTTTACATTACATGGCATACATGTATGTACATGTAGTAGAATGAATGATTATTAATATCAGGTGTATATTTAATCAGTTGAAGATCCAGTTGTTCAGTACAGTCCTATCAGTGCAAACTGTAATGGGGATACAATAACTGTTTCACTTCAGAAATTATTAAATAAAGTGTAGAATTAAAACCTATATAATACCAAATACATACATGTAGAACATATAAACTAAGTTTAAAGTTTTCTGTTAAAATTAAACTAAAAACACAATATAACAACATTATGTAACCTTACAGGAAAAAGGTAATCTTATGAAATGGAATAATTATAATGTCATTGGATGCAAAAACAGAAATTCAGATGAATCTGATGAAAAATTGTAGGCCTACAGTTAAAAAGTTTGTGTTATGCAAACAAATTGTCAAAAGTGGACAAAACTACATTTCAAAAGTTCTAAAATTAAAATATCACTATGCTTTTGTTTAAACTTTTTCAGGCTGAAAAATTTGGAAATTCATTTGTAATGGATGTTCATCTGAGTGAAGATGTGAAGCAAACTATAACTCAAGCTGTAATTATTATTTTTATATATTTTAAAATTTAATTTCTATACGTCTACATACTTTTATAAATTTAGTAAGGCCGTAAATTTAGCATTTCATGTAAATCATATATAAATTGTTGTTAGTATCCTGGAGTGTACATTGAAGTGTTAAATGTAATTAGTTTTATACTGTACTGTCATCAATAATAATCATTCAGCAAATAGATCCTATTTGATAGCTTAATTAGATATACATGTATATTGAATTCAATACAAATAGAGAATTTCTAAATTTATAAATTCTATAGTTACCACCTGTGGCTGTGTTATTAATATTTTCTGTCAGTTTTAAAGATCTATTTTAATAGAATAATGGAACATCTAGATAATAGTGATACATTTGAAAAAAGTATCTGTAGATTTAGATCTAGCCAAGAAATCAATAAAATGATTTCTGCACAAACCGAGCTAATGAAGACTGACATACATGTATTAGGGAAATTTTGACCGCACAGCTGCACTATGGCCTACTCTTATTTCGAATCCAATAAGGGTTCCTTTACATGCATGCAAATGACTAGACACTGTTCCTCACTAGGACCTCTGTTCTTGCTGGAACACCAGGAGGTAAGCCAGTAACTCCTGGTTAGTGAGCCAGCATCTTATTCACTAAATCTACGCAGCTCCAAATTAATAAATGTTTTAGGTGTTCAAAAATTGAAAAGTTATTAGACTTCTGTGAAAAACGATGGTGAACATGTTCCAAATTGAACAGAAGGATCATACAATATGTCTATAAATTATAGGTAGCTGCTGCTCCGTGGTGGTTACCTGTCGATGGCGCATACTGGCGTATACCCGAGGGAAAGGGAAGTAACATAAAAAACAGGTAGGTAGGCTACAACACATTCCAAATTTTTCAGATTTACCCTGGGTCACAAATAATTTTTCATGGGTTGCTGATTCATATTGAATTAGTGCAATATATGGGAAACTAAGAATTAGGTCTTGTCACATTTCGCTGAGCCCCCAAAATCTAAAAAAAATCAAGATCTGTTTATGTCATAGTAATAAAACTACATTCTTTGAGTAATGAATGACACAAGGGTAATTTACACTATATATATTTTAGAATGGATCATGCTGTTGTACATACATCATGGAATGATGCCACAGAGTTCTGCAAATGGGCAGGTAAAAGATTACCAACAGAAGCTGAATTTGAATATGCATGTAGAGGAGGATTAGAGCAAAGGTTTGTTTTAATTTACATGCTTTAAGTTTAAAGTCCTTTTTAAATTAATTTTTAAAAAAAAGTTAATTAATTGATGTTGAAAGAGATAGGATTGATCAATGTACATGTAATTCTAAACCAGGGGATCTGCCACCAAAACATGCCTAAACAGACAATGTAACAGCATGCTTTATTGTTCCCGAGGGTTTGTTGGCGACAATTGCCAAACATGTGACCAGCAATGTCTTGCTGACAGCTTGTATATTTGCAGCACACATATTTGTGATTATTTCACAGCCTTTAACATCATGGTTTAATAACTAAGCTTGTGTGTTTTGTAGATTATTTCCTTGGGGAAATAAAGAAATGCCTAAAAATGAACACTGGATGAACATATGGCAAGGTGAATTTCCCAAAGAAAATACAAAAGAAGATGGATTTGACAGTACTGCGCCGGTAAATTATGAAAAAATAAATATAATTCACAATTTTACATAAAGAGAACCATAGTTTATGATATGAATTTGAATTTTTTTAAGACAAAGAAATCATTTCACAGTTTACTTGATTTTGAAAAACACCTGAAATAATTTTAAAGTCTTAGATATTCTACGTAAATATTAGTAGATATTCTTGAAGTGCAGATAAGATCTTGATGAAGGACGTCTCTAGTTACATTGTATAGGCTAAAGATAACTTTTTAAAATTTTATAAACCGTATGACTGTTTTACTGGATAAGGAATGATTACAGATTCCTGGCAGTAGAGCAGATGTTCACTATACACTGTAGATGTGCACACATAAATCCGGGCCAAAGAGTATGTGTCAGTATGGCTGTCATAGTAATTCCCTGAAATTTCATGACGGTTGTCAAAACAGATAAAACCTCACATGTTATTAAATAGTACCAAAGAAGATCTAATCTAAGCTGGGTTAAGATTACAAAATTTTAAATGTGTTTAATTCCACTAGAAACCGAGACCAGTCTGTGACATGTAACTTGTTTATTTGATAAGTACTGAAAACAGCCCTGAATTCTTAAATCATTTGTCTAAGCTATACTTTGACAATTTTGATGGAATTTACTTCATTCAGATGGGATGCTGACAAACCTGTTTTCTTGTCAATTTTATTAATTGTACCGCATACTTAAAAATTAATTATACTGCTGTACCATAATATAATTATGGAGGCATGCGTCTGGAAGAACCCTATTCTGATTCAGAATTTTTATACGTCCACATTTTCATGTGGACGTATATTTTTGTCGCCCTGTCCGTCCCTCCACAATTTGTTTGTGGACACTGAACCTTTCATAATTTTTATAGGTTTATAGGAAATATAGGTTTATCTCGAAAAGATCTTGGTTCCTGTCGATATTGGCATTTATCGGATTCAAACTTCATGGATTATGGCCCCTGATTGTATGAAAAAACACATTTTTATCTTGTGGACAATCTAGAGGTCACAATTTTCATCTGATTTTGATGAAACTTGAAATGCATGTTTATAACCCAAAGATCGTAACTTCCTGAATTATGGACCTTGATTGTACTAAAATTGCGTTTTTAGCCTGTGGTCCCTCTAGAGGTAACAATTTTTATCCGATTTAAAAAAAAAATAAACCTTTGAATATATCAATGTTTCACCGTTATGATGGTCCAAAATTGCCGGACAAATGGCCGCCCCTCGTTCGCAAATAGTGTAAATGGTATATCAAGGTTGTGGACCCTCTAGAGCTCACAATTTTGATCCGATTTTAATGAAACTTGAAATACATGTTTATAACCCAAGGATCTTGGTTCCTTTCGATATTCGCACATATCGGATCGCAACTTCTTGAATTATGGCCCTTGATTGTAGGAAAAATCGAGTTTGTTGCTTGTGGTCCCTCTAGAGGTCACAATTTGTATCTGATTTAAAAAAAACCGTTTGAATATATCACTGTTACACCCTAATGATGGTTGAGTTCGAATTTTAGTGAATGTCGGACCAAAACGGCCGGAGAAAAGTGTAAAAGTATGTAATACCAAGGTTGTGGACACTCTAGCGAAGTCACAATTTTTATCCGATTTTGATGAAACTTAAAATATATCTTTATGTCCCAAATATCTCAGTCCGTTTCGATATTCGCGCATTTCAGACTATAACTTCTGATTGTACGATAAATCGCTTTTCTTTTAGCTTGTTCTCTATCCATCTCTTGCAAAATGTGGGCGTATCTTGCCTGGCCACCACTGGTTTTATTGCATATGGTACAATTATCTCACAGTTTACATTTTAGCTTTGAAGGTTTGTGGATTTGGTACAGGTCAGAGTTTGTGATGTAGATCTTAATTGTAGAAATTTGGTCTGATATCTAACCCACAATATCTATACTTGTCATTTTACTTGATAACGTTAAGAGGATATTGCGGTCAAATGTACAAGCAGGCTTAGCAAGCCACTGTCCATCTTTACTAGTACTGTATTTATATTTTACAGGTTACAGCTTATCCTGAACAGAATAAATTTGGTTTAAAAAATATTATTGGAAATGTTTGGGAATGGACAAATGACTGGTGGGAGACTAAACATACAACAGATTTTAAAGATAATCTTGTTAGTTTTCTTTTAAAACAAATTGTACCTCAAATATTATATCTTTGTGTACAAAGTTGACAAAATTCTTTGATTGTGTTCACATTGCAAAATTGCCATTCATATGAATTCACATTACAGTTTTAAATTTTGAGAATACAACAACATGGATCTCAAGGGCTGAAGATTATGTTATACAGTAGAATATCTGTATTCACCAGTCATTCAGGGGAATTGTCATGACTGACCTCTTAATAGAAGTGACCCCGTAATAGAATCTCAGTGTTTGTTAGTGCTGATATCAAGTAAAATTTATGCATCGAGGCATCTGGAGCAAACATCGATACTCTCACATCAATGTATCAGTAAATTTGTCCGTGGGCGAATGAAAATCCATTGACTCAACAAATCTAATATAAATTCTGTACCCCCACTACATTGTCATGTATTTGACAATTTTTATTCCTTTTTGTGAAGAAAATCCATTCGACATAATTAATAAATAAAAAAACATTGCTTATTTTGCAGACTGGCCCAGCATCCGGTGAAGATAAAGTTAAAAAGGGCGGATCATTTTTATGCCACAAGGTACAGTTTATTACTTTGATTACTTCATCTCCCTCTATTTTTCATATATTATTCCTGACTGAATCCCCTTACTCTGCTTTTCTTATATAATCCTAACTGAATCACCTTACTCTGCTTTTTTTATATTACTTATGACAGAATCACCCTACCCTGACTGAATGACCTTACTCTGCTTTTCTTATACTTCTGACAGAATCACCTTACTCTGATTTTCTTATCTGACTGAATCACCTTGCATGTTTGAATCTGAACAGTAGTTTTCTTTAACCCAACCATACTGTGTCTGTACAATCAAGAAACCCATTTTCATCATTCTCCTAGAGCATATATTATTATTTACAAAACTGTTAAAATATGGATGAGGAAAGCCAAAATATGATATGGAATGGGCTTACCACTGACACTGTGCTTTCTATTTTTATAAATAAAATGACACAATGTGTACAATAACAGGGTTCCCGCGGCTTCGTCAAACATTTTTTCAAGGATAAATATATGTCAAATTCAAGGATTTTCAAGGACATTTTTTAGCCTAAAGTTACAATTTTTCATCTCAAAAATAACCAAAACATTACAACTATCGTTATAAAACTTCTAATCTAAACGGGATTTTCATATCAACTTACTATTATTACCAATTTGAAACAAAATTAAGGATTTCAACTGAAATTCAAGGATATTTTCCTATTTCCGCGAAATTCAAGTTTATTCAAGACCTTGAAAATGAAATTTTAAATTTAAACATATTCAAGGATTTTCAAGGACCGCGGGAACCCTGAATAACTATGTGTATTAATTGGCTAATTTAAATGATTTTAATTTTGTTAGTTATTTTAGATATCTCTAAACATATGTATATATATTATATATTTCAGTCCTACTGTTATAGATATAGATGTCAAGCTAGAAGTCAGAATACTCCAGATAGTTCAGCATCTAATCTTGGATTCCGATGCGCAGCCAGCACATTACCAGATTACTTAAAATCATAAACATGTATTTTTCTTGGTTCAATCCGAATCATCCATAGATATATTATTGTAACTTGTCTAGTATAAAAGCCATTTGATTTATTTATGTCTAGATAAGAAATTTTTTAAACAGAAATCCATCCCCCTAATTATCTAAAGGAAAATTGGCTGTCTACTACAAATTAATATTGTATTTAATTCTATTAATAGTGTGTAATAATACAAAACAACTTAATAATTAATATTCATGTTTTAATTTATTTTTTTTTTATATCATATTTGACTGGTCCAAAACATTTAACAGCGGCAGTTCCCAACACATATCTTAAAACTACAGTTAAGACACTTGTGGCCTCACCCAACCTGGAGTCCTAAATGCGTCACTGCAAAAGAAAGTACCCTACATGTTTTCACTAAATGTTTAAATTTGATATAAATATATATTTGTTTTTATTCTGTATAAATATATATTTTGTAACTGATTTATAAATGTTTTAATCTGAGTAATTGTTTTCTTTTGGTGATAGTCTGGAAGTTGGTATATATGATATATTATTGCTTTTGTATGAATTTTACTCTAATATTTTGTAATTATTGTTAATGATTAAAACTCTTGTTGTTTACTGGATTTTGATCAATTTGTTTTAGGTAGAAAATAGACAGTTGAAGTTGACATCATATGTGGAATAAATTTCAAGCCAATAACCAAGAAAGATTTGCAAAAATGCAGTGGTCTTGAGATGTATTTTAGCGCCAAAAATTTGCATCTGATATTTACTGATATATTTTTACCAAGAACATAGGGATATCATTATTATAAAGAATCTGTCACAATTTTTATGCAGCACAAACAAATCTACAGAAAAACAGATGTATCAAAAGGGAGATAATTCTTACACATAGTTACTCCACAATAACATGCTTTTTTATTGACACCTTTGTCTGTATCACAATTCGAACTAGATCCATAACTAAATGACAATTCTTCCAACAATTCTATATCAGTATTAGCAAACAAAGCTAATCGAGGTATACTATTATTGATTCGAACTGGATGCATTGTTAGGTTCGGATCACAAGAATGGTTGATCATTCGACCGATATTGCCTTTATATTTTGGATCAATGAATGTTTGAATTATTCCCGAGGCACAGTGCTCCTTTAATACAAACAAATAATTCATATCATCTTTGGTTAATTTCTTTGATCTTTTATTGGCTTCTTCTTCACTTACTATTTCACCAGCATATTCACAAACAAATGATCCCCTTGGAATTGTTTCCAGTGTCCGTAACGCCAGACCCTTGTGTTTAACGGTAAAAACCTCAAGTTTATATTTTATACCATTCTGAACTAATCTATTTGAGCAGGCTCTATCACAAGAACACTTTGAGTTGCACTCAAGTATAGCTTTGGAACTATCTCCACATATAATATTTTCTAAAAGACGTCCATTTTGATAATTAAGACCCTGTTGTTCAATACATGAGCAACTTATGAGTTCACAGCTTGGCTGACAATTGCAGCCACAAAATTGTTCCACATAATTATCCATATTACAACCTGGGCCTGGTATATTACTACAGATATACTGAAACATACAGAATTAAAAAAAGGTAATTACACATACATATAATATATATGAAACGGCCGCGCTGCATGGACAGTGGCGGCGCGAGTCGCCGGTGGTTGGTGGGGCGAAGTCTAAGGTTGAGGGGGTAAAGGCCCGAGCTTAAACTAGGGGTATGGGGGGCCTCCTCCAGAAATTTTTGAAAAACAGACTGCCGGAAATGCAGTCTGGCAGTATTTCAGGCACTAATCGTCGAGATAAATAGATCTAACCAGACACCGCCTGTCGCCAAACCCACTAGTTTATCCGACCGGAGAGGAAAGCGTCAAACGAACGGAGTAGTGAGTGAATCAACGTGAATGAATATTCTTGCCGCGTTGAACCTATGCCCCAAACAACCCTGTTGATCGTAAAATGCACTTCTCAAGGTGTTATTGTTTATAGTAGGTTTACAGCAGGATGGGCTCGGTAAGAAATCATTCTGACTTTACAACATGCAAGTCTATGACGGGTGGAAATGTGTGATTTAATCACCGTGGAAGGTATCTATTACCGAAAAATATCACAAATATTTTATTTTATTCCTTAAAATTATTGCGGGGGTGGGGGACAGAGGGCAAACCAGAATTATGGGAGGGCAAATGCCCACCCCGAGCCCCTTGGCGCCGCCACTGTGAACGGAACCAGGTTTGTTTTCTCTACGACCTCCACTTCCCTCCTCGACCACCAAAAACATACCAGAAATGGGCCATTTGTCCATCTAATGACATATTTGTAGTGAATATTTTGTTATTGTTTCGCTTAGTTACTTTTATTTTTAACGCGCCTAGGAGCGGGTTCTGTTCAGATGTTAGAAAAAAATGGAGTTAAGGCTCTGAAATTGCACCGAAATTAGAAGTCGGCATACTTTTATAATTTTATTCTTTAGTTGAGAGAGTAGAAAAAAGGTGTTCCAGCAATAAGCCTACCAACCTTGAAAGTCTTCATACTTTTAGACAGTTGTAGATTTTCATAATAAATTGGATTACTTTCAAGCCCTTCTGTAAAATCATTGACGTCATACATAGACAATTCCATTATTATGCTAAAAACAAAGTCAACAAATATATTCATTTCTTTATCGATGCCTGTGAAAACAATAGCTATTTTAAAGATATATTCATTTAGCAACCGGGCCTATTAATTACAATCCATTTCCGAAAACATTACTATTATGGACAAATATAAATGGAACAAGAAAGTCCTGGCCCCAAGTTCACAAAGAATTCTCAGACTTAATTTAAGAATTTACTCAATATTGTTTGCCTTATTTTAACTAAAATATAGCCATTTATAAAACTTTTGTTGTTTTAATGTATCAAATACATCAATAAGAAACTATGTGTAAAGATTTGTGTTTCTGGATCAAAGATATTTCTCATAAACAGTGATTGAAAGTTGAGTAAATTCTTAATTTAAGTCTGAGAATGCTTTGTGAACTTGGGACTTGGAGTATAGGTCTAAAACATCAGTCTTCGACATATTCCGGTAACGTTCTGCGTATTTGAATTTATTCTTGGATATCACACAGACCCAAGGGTTAACCCAAAAAGTAGGAGAGGTTATTTATTCTTCAATCTTCAAAGGCATAGGATTGAATAGTCTTCGCGCACAGCGGCCTGCTCTCTGGCAATTCAATATAATTTTATAGCTACACAAGGGCGGAATGAATGTATATTGTTTTACTACTTTAGAGATTGCTTCAAATACGTTATCGATAATCTATAGGAAAACGAAATCTGTTGGTTGTAAATGCTGGTGTTGGTACAATAAATCTTATCTTATGTCCAAATCTCCGTTTCAAGGACATGGACACTTTTTTCCTTTCATTAATCACAAGCTTTGCTTTATTTTTGTAGTACAATGTACAATGTACAATGTAAATATCATATTTTCTGGTAAGTTCTGATGGACCAGTTTCATAAACTTATTATCATTTATTTTAAAGAATATTTCTTTAAAACGAAGCCCGTAATATAGCTCTATAACAGTACAAAACCGCACACGACCCAAGGTCTTGATATAAAACGTCACACAAGTCGTTTCAAACGTCACGCCCGAATATGACCATTGAACCGTATTGCTTGATATCCGAGTCTATGGCCTTCAGAAACGATAATATACTGTGTGTTTACTATGATTTTATATTGAATTATTCTTGACAAGTATTATCATTACCCATTTGACATCCAAAACCGTGTCTGTTATATAGGACTACGTGTAATCCTTTGCATACTTACAAGGAGGAAATCCGCAGCTCGGAACAACATAGACTTTTATGTCAAGATTGTTTGAGTGGAGTTCGGTCGTTAAAAATCGTAAATATTCAGTTGCCGATTACTGATCCTACGGGAATTAACTTCCTGCTATTTTGCATCAACCGAGCTAATGAACACGCAACCATTTTCACAGCGGTAATGCGAAAACCTGAGTTCACGTGCATTATAGGTCTACATGTTCGTGTAACCCACACTGATCAGATGTGAATATTCGCTAGGCCGCGACAACCACTGATAAGGATGACATCGATGCGACTTAATGAGCCACAAATATTAACTTTTTTCCTCCGACAAATTAAATTCTAAAACCTCTTTTTTATGTATTAGAAAAATAGATAAAGACGTTTGAAGTATTTGTAGGTAAAAATTATTTCCTATTTAGTGTAAATGGGTAGGCAATTAAAATGAGTAAAAGGCAGCATTCTGCCCGATTTAATAACGTCTTATGTAAACAATGCATGCGCCATTCAGCCAATGATTGACTTCGCGTGATGTGACGTCACGTGTTGAAGGCAATCATCTTTCACAGAGATATTAGAAGACTTTCGGGGATCACGTGGCTAAGTGGGTAAGACGCTGGCTCGCTAGCCTGGAGGTCGGGAGTTCGATCCCTGCATTGGCCGAGAAAGTTGATCCAGATTTTCCGGCGTGGTTTCCCCTTGTCAGTGATGCAGGACGGAGGGCCTGACAAGGACAGCTGTCTAGTCGTTCGAATGGGACGAAAACCGAGGTCCCGTATACATATTGGCGTGCACGTAAAAGATCCCTTGCCAGTTGGAATTCGATATGAGAGTAGGCCGTAGCGCCGCTGCCCGGGCAAAATTTCCCTCATAGCACACTGTATGGCGTATGCCCGTCTGCATTAGCCCAGTTTAGGAGCAGAACAGTAGGACATTAAACCCCATTTCATTTCATTTCATTAGAAGACTTTCGTAATCCTCTGTGAAACAGATTGCGTGTAACCATAGGTCCATGGTGTACTGTTTCGTCAAATCATACGACCTCGATAGCACGTGCGTTCTTTACATTGGACGTAGTAACACGAAATGATCCGAGCATAATCAGTGCCTTTTACTCATTTTACGCCTTCGTGTACTATTTTATGTACTTATTTACACTAAATAGGAAATATTTGTATCCAGATATAGCCTACTTTTAATAGAATTCAGACTGTCAACTGTTATTTAACGTGTATGCCAACACCCCTTTTTCACACCTTCCCAACAAATAGACGCTGTACCCAGCATTTCCTACCCGAACATTCAGCCGATCTATGATTCAATACGATTAACTTATACTATCTTTACAATTTGTGCAACAATATTGTTCTGTTACCATAGCAAGTATCTTAGTAACTTACTTTATTGGCAACCAAATCTTTGGTCAGAACAAAGCACTAATCTTGGTAAGATATCATTTATTTTCTTGATGCCAGATTACTAAGACAATACTAACATTGATTACAGCCTACTGATATATAATGACATTTCTAACATAGATTACAGACTTCTAATATACATGTATAGTGACATTGATTACACAGACTACTAATTGAACAACATTAACATTCATTACAGGATACTAATATATAATCACAATATTAAGACTAATTACAGGCTACTAACATATTAACACAACGCTAACATTCATAATTACATACATGCTAATAATATAATAAATGACAATACTAACATTCATTACATGCTACTATGATTTATTACGTACATGCTACTAACATTGTTTACAACATGCTTCTAATATATACGTATGTAATCACAAACTATATATATACTAATATAACACTAACATTGATTAAAGAATATTTACAATTGTTTGATAAACCGCTATAGATATCTTGAATCCCCACCTTTGTCATTTTATATGTTTATTAATATCATATTTCAAATGTTATTAGAAATTATTCAGTAATCTTTACAACCATATTAAACATTTTTGTACCTTGTCATTTATTAATAATATATATTAATAAATGGTAATTTTCAGTTCATTCACTGTGTTATTGTATAATACATGCTTTGATCAAACTGGACAAACTTTGTTGACATTAAGATTTTGTTTTTTTCTTATGCAGAACAATCGCCTAAAATTTACATCACGAAACAGAATGAACTGTAATGATCATCGGTTGCAAAGGAAATTAAACCCATTTAATCTTGTCTTTTATAATATTTTGTTTGAGATTGTAAAGGTGGTAATTTAATTTTCTTAGTATTAGGTCGTGGACTTGCTGGCGGTTTAGGGTTATATCGTCCAGATATTAATGGTAGTTCTTTCATTAGATTAGGAAGTGGAGCAGCACCAACTTTCTTTGCGATTTGGAAACGCCCTTGTGGACTTTCAAATACTGACGATGTTGATTTTATTTTTGGTGGCGTTGCTGAACTTTCTGGATTAATCTTCGGATATTCAACCAAGGATGGTAGTAATGATCCATGTTTCTTTATATTTTTAACTACCGTGTGATTACTGTTTATCGATGATATTTTCTTTATAGAATAAGAAACATCAGGCGAGGAGGTACTATGCACTGTTGTTGCTTTGTCTGTCTTATGCACTCCTTCAAATCGTTTTTGTATCATTAGCTCGCCCATTTCAGGCGACGAGCAGGAATGGATTGATAGCTCTTCTTCAATAGATGTAGGCGATAGAGCCTCATTGCTTTGTGGAGATGAAAATTCTGTGTATATGGTGCTGTTTGATGTTGTTCGTGTTCTGGCAGTCACGATTTCAGGGCAGCTCGATGTATGACGTGACAACATATTTTTTGAGAATGATTCATGTATTTCTGGCAACGAGATCTTCTTATCGGTGCTATCTTGCTTTGAGCATTCAGTCGGCAGTGTTTGTTTTGATAGTTTGCTGGTATTTTGCGCCCCTCTGGATCCCTTTAGGGATTTGGGATTCAACGTCTTCGTGGTGATACCCCGGGATTTTGCATTGATTATTGCCGCGGTTTCGTTTGATTTGCAGTTAACGGTCCCGTATGTTTTCTGTGGAATCATCACAGCCTTTACCTTCACATTAGTTTGGGTTTGTGGAATCTCCACATCATCTGGTTTGATTATCTTTACATCAGTTTGTTTCTGTGGAATCATAGCCTTCGGTTTGCTTATCTTTACTTCAACTTGTTTCTGTGGAATCTTCTCATCCTTTGGTTTGATTATCTTTACATCAATTGGTTTTTGTCGAATCTTTACAACCTTTGGTTTGATTACCTTTACTTCAGTTGCTTTCTGTGGTGAAATCTTCACGGCCTTTGGTTTGCTGATCTTTACTTCAGTTTGTTTCTGTAGACTCTTCACAGCCTTTGTTTTGCGTATCTTTACAACAGTTGGTTTCTTTGATCCGTGAGATGTCTGTGTGGCTATTGTAGTTTCAATTCTACCTGCTTTCTGATTAGTAAGCTGGGTATCGGCGGTTTTAGATTCCAACGTTTTAACACATTTAGTCGTCTTGTTATAGTTTTCATTGTTAGCCTTTCTGACGACAGCTTCTGATTTGTTGGACCTTTGACCAAATGATTTACCTTTAAAACGCTTCGATCTCTTGAAATATTCTAATTCTTCTGTCAGTTCTTTGACTGTTCCTTTCAGCTCATTGTTTTTGTTTAAGCAATCGTCTTCTCTCGAATGAAGTACCTGTACGTGGCTGAAAGAAAAATAACGGCTTATTTATACAGTGTTAAGTTCCCTGATTTATCTATCTAAAGCTTTTTAATAGTCTTACTCATTAAAGGTCCTCACGTTATATTTACAAACGATCAACTTTCGTAAATAAAGTGTTTTATTCTATAATGTTTTATATTATTTGTCATTTTTCGAGGAATAGTTTAATGTCATTGTAAGATTAATATGATCTGCCAGGAAGCTGGTTATAGGAAGATTCCCGTCATGAGAAATCATCTTCCCAAGGCAATAGACAGATACACATGATCGGTTATGTGCAAGCAGCATGTCTATTTTGAAGAAATGACCTCTGTTGTAATTTTTACAAGCGATTTGAAGCTGTGATATAATATTGTCAATTAACTGTTGCACAAACCACTCAACCAGTGAGTAACTGGCTTAGGTAATCACTGAATAGAAGATTGTTGGTCTTCCCTTGATGAGTCAAATATTTGCCTTGAGATGCCTTCAAACATAAGAGAAGACGATAAAAAGGGAACTTACACGTTCAGTGATTTAACTTTCATCGTAAGTACTTCATTAATGGAATTTATTTCTTCGATGTATTCGAGAACTTGTCCAGGTGTATCGCGTAGACTTGGCACTGAAACAGGTATAGAATCAATCTAAGCATTATAAGAAAAAATATGATCAATCATTGTTAAGAAAAATATACAAGGAATAGAAAAAAATGATGGCATTGTATTGTATTAATTAATATCTTTGGCACATTATTAGATTCACATGTACTTAAATCAAGTTAGCGAATGAGTGGCATATTGTTACATAAAAAATAGTTATAATTTGGTAAACATTAGCTGGTTCTGTGGGAATAAGAATATCATGTATTACACATGATAGGAAAATTACGATTGCATCATTTGGCTTGTTTAACCAATCTCTATACTTATTGTAACCTATACTATGCTTGTATCCATGTATCCGTCTATATAAAATGTAAAAACGAAATGTTGCATTGTTATTCCTGGTAAGACACACGTCTTAACTGCGATAGACAAGAAGAAGTAAATACACAACGTGAAGAGAAAGCAAAGACGACCACAAGGCTACTAAGATATGTAGTAAGAAAAGATGCATGGGTCATACGTAGGATGTGGCGACCGGAATCAATGGCCCGCTTTCCACGTCTGACAGAAAGGCCCACGGTACCACACATGTACCCCATATTTATTTCCGTCTTAATTAACCCAGTCTGTGCAGAAACGATGGACGCTAAATACTATTTTATTGATTCATATAATTATATTTAAACCAGTGTAAAAAGTTTATTATTTTACCTTTGATGTTCTTAATATTCAATCCTGGTTCTATTTCAT